TTCCTTTGAGATTGRTTTGTTTTTGCATGAAGGAGAGCAACAGGCAAAATGTTGAGTGGTKACTTTCAGAATTTGATGCTACTAGAAAAGGTCAAGTTGAGAGGTAATAATTTAACAGCAGTAACAAGTGACACAGCTGCAAACATGAACTCTCTTGGGATGTTGCTGGAGGACAAGGRTACTCACCATATTTATTGTGCTGACCATGAAATGCATAACATTTACAAGCAGRCTTATACCAAAGACTCAGAGACAACAATTGGTGTTCTTCATGCCAAGAGCTATGAAAAAGCAAAAGCAAAAATTCACCACTTCAATTATTCCAGCCAAGCCACAGAAAAGTTCAYGAGGGCTMAGGAATTAGAGATTGAAASCTACAAAAGGAAGAAACCTGCTGGTGTTATTGATAATGTCATGACAAGATGGTGGTCAACATATGATGCACTTGACTGTCTGATATATCTTAGAACAGCAATAGAAGCAATTTATTCAGGGTCAACCATCATGCAAAAAGTGGATAAACTTACAGGTGACAACTGGAAACGTCTGCATGAAAATCATGCTTGGGCTGAAGCAATTCAAAAAATCCTAGAAAGCCGTAGGGGGAGACAAGTATGTCAGTACAAGTGTGTTGTGTGAAGCAGTGAAAGCCATTCAAGAGACACTAATCAAAGAATGTAAAGAAAATGGTTATACTAGTGGAGGCAAACTGGCTGAAAATCTCTTGAAGGACTTCAACATCTATTGGAAAGATGATGGTGCTGCACTTTATGAATTATCACAAGGACTCACACCAAATTGTGGCAACAAGAGGAACAGATAGGAGGGGATCTACCCAATTCTGACAATTGCTACGACCTTCCTTGACCCAAGAACCAAGAGCTTCTTGCTGGTATCCATTGGAGAAGATGATAACAGCAAAAAATGAATTTGCACCAACGAAAAAAGCAAAGTAGCCGCTCCAAGCAGTGGTACCTCCCTCCAAGGAGTTGTAGTACTAACCTCAGTGGTTGTAAAAAAGTATCATTAAGTAGCCAAGCAATGTCTTCAACATTGTAGCTTGGCTGCAAGCCTCTCAGTATTGCTAACTGCTGCCTTGATAGCAATGTCATTGTCACAAAGTTTTGGAATGACATCCTACTTGACACTGGTGCTACAGTTCTCAAAGAATCCACCAGACAGTAAATAAAATTCGCGCGCGTATTTTGTGATGCTCGCACGCAATTATCTNTGCAAAAGTTTAGGTTATAGTACAGTGCACCATAGTCAATTGGTTGGCTAACGGAGGCATTTATTGCACCCTCCATTTGTTTTTGCAGAAGACAGGCAGTTGCCCACCAAGATCAGGGTATCCCATATGGTGTTTTCTTAGTGTTGGGTAATGTAATGTTAAATGTTCTGAGTGCCATTCCATACTGTGGAAACAAAACTTATTGTGATCGAATTTAGTCCCATAATCATCATGCAAAGCCAATGAGCCCAAAGAATGTTCAATCAATGATATCTCACATTGAATAATTAATACATGAAATAATGTTTGAGGAAGAACTGGAGGGACAGGCTATCTCAGCTACCCTTGATCACTGAACATCTAAATCAAACCAGARTATCACAGCTCATTTCATTGATGAGACTTGGGCTATGCATTCCTTTGAGATTGATTTGTTTTTGCATGAAGGAGAGCAACAGGCAAAATGTTGAGTGGTTACTTTCAGAATTTGATGCTACTAGAAAAGGTCTAGGTGAGAGGTAATAATTTAACAGCAGTAACAAGTGACACAGCTGCAAACATGAACACTCTTGGGATGTTGCTGGAGGACAAGGGTACTCACCATATTTATTGTGCTGACCATGAAATGCATAACATTTACAAGCAGGCTTATACCAAAGACTCAGAGACAACAATTGGTGTTCTTCATGCCAAGAGCTACAAAAAAGCAAAAGCACAAATTCACCACTTCAATTATTCCAGCCAAGCCACAGAAAAGTTCACGAGGGCTAAGGAATTAGAGATTGAAAGCTACAAAAGGAAGAAACCTGCTGGTGTTATTGATAATGTCATGACAAGATGGTGGTCAACATATGATGCACTTGACTGTCTGATATATCTTAGAACAGCAATAGAAGCAATGTATTCAGGGTCAACCATCATGCAAAAAGTGGATAAACTTACAGGTGACAACTGGAAAAGTCTGCATGAAAATCATGCTTGGGCTGAAGCAATTCAAAAAAGCCTAGAAAGCCTTAGGGGGAGACAAGTATGTTAGTGCAAGTGTGTTGTGTGAAGCAGTGAAAGCCATTCAAGAGACACTAATCAAAGAATGTAAAGGAAATGGTTATACTAGTGGAGGCAAACTGGCTGAAAACCTCTTGTAGGACTTCAACATCTATTGGAAAGATGATGGTGCTGCATTTTATGAATTATCACAAGGACTCGCACCAAATTGTGGCAACAAGAAGAGGAACAGATAGGAGGGGATCTACCCAATTCTGACAATTGCTACCTTCCTTGACCCAAGAACCAATAGCTTCTTGTTGCTGGTATCCATTGGAGAAGATGATAATAGCAAAAAATGAATTTGCACCAAAGAAAAAAGCAAAGTAGCTGCTCCAAGCAGTGGTACCTCCCTCCATGGAGTTGGCCACTTTTTCCCCTCACCTTGAAGCTTTCCCATCCAATGCCACCAAAATTTCTGTCTTATGATACTAATATTAGAATCATGAAAAAACAATCTACATGAGCATTCAAGATGCAATACCTATCTGATTGCTCAGTATTTCCTCCATTGAGTACTAATTGTAAACAGCCAGTGGAGAGCATCACTCAAGATGTGCTGATCTATGATACATATTCCAAAAAGAGACAGCAAAACTTCAAACAATTCCAGCTTACCCTACTAGTATTGCATCTGTGAGTACCATATCAGTTGTGCTCCTCCAGGAGTGTCGTCCCTCACAGCAAGTAGTAGCAATGCTACTAGTAGAAGCAATCTTCTCCCAGCAAGATGAAGAAGAAGTGATGGTTCTACTAGCTTTCCTATCACCTCAAGTGGTGCTAGTCCAAAATGTTGCATATTTTAAAGGAGTTAAAACAAATGCTAGTAACACAAACATTATGCAATGCTCATATGTTTTTTCTTTTGCACTAGAAGTAGTCTTAGTTGTTTTACTTCTGTTTTGATGGTTGTATGGCATGTGACTGACTAAATTTATCACATCTTGAGAATGGGTTTCTCTTTCATCATCTAAAAATAACCAGTTTAATTTTGAAATGACCAATAATGATAATGACTCCTCATTGGCATGGTAGTTGTCATATTTGCAAGTGGGCTTGAAAGCAAGGTGGTTGATAGCCAAAAAAATGTTGTTGCGGAGGCCAGGGGCATTGGCTCTGGTATTGGTGCTGCTATGATATTCATCACTGCTCCGGTGGTACTTCTTGTAGGACTCAAACTTGTCCAACAGGGCATTGGCAGCATCTTTGTTAGTCTTAATCAGTGTGTCATGTCCATTCTAGCCATAGCCAAACGAGTCCCTCTTGTTGGGTGCAATGGGATTGCCCAGGTCATGATCATACTAGCTCTTCTACCAATGACCAATGACAGCAATGACTGATTTTTTTGAGTGTTGGGAGCAATTTGGTTCACATTCATTTTGGAATGACCAATGACAGACTCATTTTTTGAGTCTTACACCAAGCAATTTGGTTTCTTAAATCTTGGAATGACTGATGATCACAATTACTGGTTTTGTTGAGTCTTGGGAGCAACCTGGTTTTCTTAAGTCTTGGAAAAACCAATGCCAAGAACATTGACTGAACATTGAGTTTTGTTGGGAATCTTGAAATGACTGCTTTAAGTGTTTCTGTCTGAACCCCTACTAGTATTTAAAAACAAAAAATGACCTGTTTTTTGCCAAGGTACTAATTGGTGTTGAATCTCCTCCTCAACATGACTCTACAGTACAACTTAATTCACAGTAGTAGTGCACATGAAAACAATTTCCATTCAAGATATTTTGAACATMTAATATTTGAAGAATTGGGCAGGGCACCAGCAGAACAGTAGTTGTAGCATGAACAGTAGGATGAGGAGCATGAAGCATGGTGCAAGTTACTGTTACTCCTTCTTCTTCGTTTTCTGTGGATGACTAATTCTGAAAAATAGAGAGCAAAACAGAAGGAGGAGCTTTCTTYGACTGAAACTTGATTTTCATAGCTTATTTCATGCGCTCTTTGCGTAATGCCATTCTGATAAACTCTCAGCAATTTGCAAGTTATCTCTCTGACAAGAACAAGAACTCACACGTTATTTCAATAAGGCCCTACTTTCAAGTATATGGTAGTACTAGTGACGCATACTAGTTGGGAAAAATACATGGGTAATTGCATGACGTTTCGTCYATGGTACATTCAGCATGATAGGCAGGTCTTRTCCCAGTAGGACATTCGTATGATGACATGTTCACAAGTGACAATTTCTGGACAAGCGCTGCTTTTTTGAAACTAAACCTTCAAGATTCTGTCTCGAATAGCGAGTGCCATGTCCTTGTCAGATGSGAAGAAAGCACTATGCAAATTATTTTACAGCAAAGATTACTGTATGAATTTTACACTCGGAAAGCGAGAGGCCCTCCGAGCATTCTGTCGGTATWTCAACATGCCYTTCCCTCGAGTARTCCTGTTTTTTTGTGTGACCTAGTTGGCATCAAGTATCAGAGATCCATTTCTGAGAGCTTTTACGATCCACAAAATTTTTATTCGGGATTCAAGGAACCATCGGTGGCTGGTTCGCCTCTTTCAGAATCTCGAGTAGCTGCGGTCAATGTTGATACCGACACAGGATTCGCTATAGATGCTCGAAGAAACATTGCTATCATGGCATCGTTATAGTTGTTCAGATTTGAGGGTATCTCAATACTTCTCGTAGAAGTTAATGTGGATGTAGGAACCATTCGGCGAGGGTTTCCCCTCACAGCTTCTCTGGTACCTTTCTCTAAATCACCCATCTCCTCGGACATCGAATCCAATGGATCAATTACAAAATCCCTGCGACAGCATGGRCAGAGCGGCCCGTCTCTTCCCTTCATGAGCCACTGTTCAATACAGGATTTGTGGTACACGTGTTCGCATTGCGRATTCGAGCTCCAGACAATGTCGCTTCCAACTTGATAGTCACAAAGGCATATTGGACATTCGATCGCCACCCTTCGCATTTTCGATCTAGGAATATTAAGRATTTCTCCACTGGTAGTGTTATTTGATGCAAGGTTTGGATTTTCGTTTGCACCCGTTTCGTCAATGGATGAACAATAACTTAAACCGGGTTCAGGGATAAGAATAAATCTCTCCTCCTCATCAGCACCGTTGTCGAACCTTCCGGTTCTATCGTTAGAAGTGGAACTCTGAGATTGATCGGGAATTTTCCAGGACTCATCTTCTACAGTAATTATATTAGAGCATGAACTCAAGTCGTGCCGAGAGTCGACCGATCCTTGAGATGTTWTTGTGTCTTCCTCATACGACTTAGCATTCTTTTCCCTTCGGGTGTCCAAGTCGCTAGCATCCGACAAAACAAAATTTTCATCTGCTAATATCTACACAAGGTGGAATGCATCGTTTAAATAAAAAAGATTCAGGTTGGTTTGATAGTACAATTTAAAACAGAGCCGTTAGATCACATCCACAGCGTAGACAATTCGAGACCTGTTGGTTTCTATGGATCATGAATGTGTTGTTTCTAAGTCCACCGTTCATCCTACGCGCTTTTCGACGATTCTCCAGTTGATCTCTCCTGCTTGCCAMTTTTTAGGCCACCTACTTACCATGCGAACTGGAGCAAAGAGCTGAACGAGCCTTGCCCTGCGTTCGTCCTGATATTTCTGCCGGGCTGCTATGGATTCCCGTCKTTGAATCGWTTGCGATTCGATGATTRCTTGTGCCAMTGTAGCAATTTCGAGCTGGACTAGGCGACGATTTCGTCTCGCCTGACAGAGCACCCGAAGGTAGAAGAAGATGGGAACGAGGAAACAAACGCACAGCATCGACAAATAAAAGACGGCGAGGACTATCCTCCCCGCAGCTGATGGGTCGTCCTCTCCTGGATTCACCATGTTTTCTCTTTAGATTTTTCTAACGTCTCTCCGATGACTCTAGAAAGGATTCTCGTCAARTATTGTCTTGCAAAGAGCCCGCGGTTGTTACAAATGGTATTCCAATAATCGTCCTCTAAACGTGTCCGGACCACATCTTTTTTGGACGGGTAAAAGAAGAAATCTWTTTTTTAAGTTCTACAATTCTACAGCAATTGTGTTTTGTACCGTACAGCTGTCGCGCGATCACGGAAGTGACTAATAGAGCGTACCGGCCTGTATTTTACTTTCGTACGTTCGTATTCTATCGAGGTTTTCGRCTCCGTTCTTATTCCCGAAATGTTTTATCTAAAGAGTTGATACAGTTCGTACTGTACAGTATTACTGTACAAAAAACCAAAAAATGTCATCCGGGTCACGGCGTGAAGGAGAATGTCATAGAGCTAATACTGTTGTTACTCCTCACAGAAGCGATTCTATTTCCTGTCGTAGATTCTTATCGAAGACTGGAACCGCGGGTCGCCTAACCGTTATGGTTAACGGTCATAGAATCGAATGTCACACACAATCGTTTTCGTACCGCGGAGGAGTACAGTACTCGTACTTGTACGTACTCGTACTTGCATTACGAACGACGAACGATTTCGTCGGTCATACTGTATCATGATACAGTACCGGTACGAGTACGTGACTAGCAACCTCTGTTAGCTAGTAGTACAGTACTTACGCACTGGTACTCGTTTCTACCAGAGCACAGACCACAGCACGCACAAACGTCTTTACTGAACCAGACGTGATCGTACCGTACCTGTCGTGCGGTATGGTAATGTACTGATAAATACTTCTACTCAGCTTGGTTATTCACTACCTACTCGTGATTTACTTCCCAAAACCCTGCTCGCATCATTTTTCATTTCTGTTTCGATGAATGATGATTATTGTTTTGATCCATCCTTTTCATTACATTCGAAGCTGCGACGTTATATTCGTACCGGTGTTTGAACTCGAACACGTACTCCCACTCGCAACGAAATCGACCGCCGGATCCGAACACCTTTCAGTATTGTCCCACGAATGATATCTCAGCAATGAGCGAAGCCGGGCCGGATCAAACCAACACGGGGGACCTCCGCAAGGCGCTCCAGCACGCTGTTTGCCAGATCGTTTGGGACCAGGATCGRCAGGACGGGGCCAGGACCGCCCCGAGTGCCATTGCGGCCCTGACTGAGCTCACCTTCCAGTACGCKACKAAGTCGCTTATCCCCGATCTCTACGCCTTTTCGACGCACGGAAATCGAAAGTCGACCATTTCTCCAGACGACGTCGCAYTGGCACTSAGAAAGCTGGGSCCCGATCGCCTGGAAAGCTTCAAGAGTGAGTTCTGTAGCAACAACGGAAGCAAAAAGCTTCCCRCTAGAGACACAAACGCATCGGCAGCCGCCAAACTCGGAAAAAAARACAWCTTGAAAAGATCAGCAGCGATTTCCGGACATGGACAGGACGAACGTCGACGGAAGAGAAACGAGACCGATGTTTTGTCCTTGGGCTCGTCGTCTTCCTCCTCCTCGGACGAAGAAACCTACGGCCATCCGAGTCACAGAAACAAAAATCGCAAGCGAAGGTCAGTCTGTAATACTACCTCYGGTGCATTTGCTACTGGTCGGACCCATTTTGCTGGTTCGTCTCCTTTGCATAATAAGCAAACGAGCGCTGCGGCTACTTCTACTAACAATACTAATCACAGTACAATGAGTAGAACGAGCAACCAAAGAGAATCCCTGTTGAACAAGTTCCGAATACCAGTATCCACTCGCAATAAAAAATGTAGCAACAAGAATTTAGAGCAAGAGGATTCATCTTCAAGCGATTGCAACGATATCGGGAGGTTACCCATGAAACCACTTGTCACTACTGCAACGAGGAAGTCTTCAGTAGCAGCTAAATCAGATCTGCAAACCGATTCCTCTCCGATGCTTTCCTTGAAACGAATACAAAACAGACAGCAAAGCAAAGYRAAGTCAACATCATCTACTCATTATGGGCGAAACGATCCCTTGTTACTAGACGATGACAGTGACTCTACAGAAGACGAGGATGAATACCCAAATAAAAAGTTAACGATGCCCAAATCTGTGCACACCAACACCGTCAGCCATCAGACACACCAAAAGAAACAGCTTGAAATTGAGGCTGACGACGACGATATRTCGGAAAGATACGAGTTTGATTATTCAGCCGGTCAGGGAGGAAATGCACGGCGTCAAAGTAGTACTGATGACARCAATACCAACAGGGAAAGCGATGGGGCAAAACCGCAATCGCAAGTTGCGGAARCCTTGGCCAATCTATCTTCCGATTCTGGGATGGACGACAACGGCAGCGAAAACGAGACCGAAGACGAAYTACGCGTTGGTTTCAAAAAGAGTGCATCCGGYAGCCGGAACCATCCGGTCATCGAAAGTGATGACGAGGACGACTAGAATTGTATTTTCATTGGTGTCTGTAGTGTTACAACATACGATACGCTYTGTTCCAAAACACCGATGTACRCATTCCTASCKTATGGTAGTTTGAGTGGGAATAGGAAAGACAGTCAAAGCATAGAATTGCCGTCTGCCACCCYGCTTTTTGAGAATGCGGCACCGMTAAGTTCTGTYGTATACGATCTTGTGGAKCATCATCAGTAACAGAAGAAACGTTTCGTGCACGCTTTGGATCGCAGAAATGTCGCTGTCATTTATTCTACTTGCCGGGTTGTTAATGGTTGACTTGCTCCAGCTCGAATCGAATAGCTCGTACGTACAGTACCGTTTACATCCCAACAACAGTTTCCTTCACGCCACTTCGCGATAGAAACTAGAAAACAGGTATGGTTCAAGCCAACGCATGACATAATTTTCAGAAAAAGTGTTTGTATCTCGACACAAGCTTTTAGTTGTTATTGCCATCTATAAGTAGGGAAACCGAACCCTTCTGTATCTTATCGCAATTCTAGCACATGGAAATTGTAAAAAAACGCTGCACAAACAWTCTGACGTTTTCGATTCGGCGCCAAAAGAAGGAATCRATTTATTTCGATCCAAGGAGAGAGAGGAACATGTTGAAACCAACTTGGACTGCGTTGAGGAAGAGCAATCTGTGCTTGTTGGAGATGAACTTGAAGTTGACGAAGTGAACAGCAGGCCAGACCTTCCACGATCCTTGGCAGGCYGCAAGGAGATCGGTCTTGATCTTTGTTCCGATGGTACCGAATGAATCTCCGTTAACAAGTCCAAGGTAGGTGAAAAAGACAGTCATGAAAAGAGGGCACCACATGGTCTGGTCGATAAGGATCTTCTTGGCAACGGAAGCTCCATCCTTTCCGGGGATCTTGCCATCAAGCCARTTGTAGAARTAGTGACCAGAAGGTCCGTGGTACAGAAGACCGAAGAGGGAGAGGGTGATGAATCGCTTGACATCGAAGGCMCCTCCAGTAATAAAGACCTTACGTTTTGGTTGAACATACATTGAATTTTGAATATTTTGAATGACAAAAAATTGTAAGAAACAATYATAGCTTTCACTTCGATTCAGTYTTAACAAAAAGAAMTTTCTATCATGTCTARCCTTATCGCCACGCGTTGGAATAGTTTTTAACTAAGGCGTTCAAATAGATTATTTTTCTCACCTGTGCCAACACATCACCGAGTCCCCATCCAACAAGGGAAGTGCAAGCCTTCGCGGTCAATGGACTMTCATCCAAAGCCTTGTTGTAGGCGGCCCATCCAGGAACAGCACCTCCGCGAACGATGGTAGGGTCACGGAAGAGAGGGCTCTTGGTCGCATCTTTTTTGAAGGCAGGCTTGACGACATCGTTGTCCACAGTGACGGACGAGATGGTCTTCGTCAAGGCAGGGCTTTTGACACCGAAGGCACTGGCGCTAGCAGAGATGAGAAGGAGACTAAGAAGCTTCATGGTATGATACTTTACTTTGGTTTTTGATCAACACAGGATTTTATGTWATGTGAGAGTGGTCGAAAAATGTATTGCTTATTACTAGTATTAATTTCTAMCAGATGGTTTAAATTTTTCTCCAATGCGTTCGTACCAGCTCCGGTATTTTATCGGCAACTGCACGATCTTGTTTACGAACTTGAAATTGGTCGACGTAATCGTTTGATTGGACAAGAAACTTAAATCGGTGACACCATGATGATGGCGTTGGATCCACGTTGAAGAATCTTTCTCAAACTTCTGACACCACCGTGACTAAAAAATCCAAGTCGTACACGAAGAATTCACGTTGCAAATGCAATTCCATGAACATGCYCTCCACATGCCGCCGTCCTTTGGTTCCTTGAATTCGGAAGAAGTTTTCTTCTCCTGCGGGATCGACTGTCCATCAACCAATCGATTTGAATCAAAGGAAGTAAAAGTCTCGTTAGTACCATACCTTATGACTGTAATAATCATACGAACGATACTTTAACATTTTGCTAGTAGAGTTTTTTTAAATTTTTTGAGTGTGATTCATTCGTGGAATCTGGCAACGAAATGAAGTATGAAGTACGAAGTACATTACTTCTACGTTTCAACCGTACTCGTCCCGCACATTGGGTCATTCACGAAAACATATTCTGTGATATGTTTTCGGGAATCACTTTCAGTGGTACAGATGGCACCGCCGGCCAGCTMAACTTACATATTTTCCCCCCATTTTTGGAATTTGGAATCCTGTATAAATTGCATGCAATTTGACAAAATTCCAAAGTGGCGGGAACTTTGGGATTTTCACTAAACCAGCTGTGCCTTCAAAACTTCGGAAACAGAATCCTCGAAAACTGAATCCTTCTCCAAAATTGAATCCTCCGAAAGAACAACACCAACGACCAGCACAAAACAGTCCCTACCCTCACTATTTGGCAATCGATTGCTCCTTCACAGAAAAATGTCCTTCTTTGAGTTAGTTTTAGTAACTGCACGGGCTCTCCAGCAACAACAGGAGGAGGAGGAGGAGAGGCCGGCTCGTCATCGACTGTCCCTTCACGACAAGCGCTGACGAGACAGAAGGATGCCAAGGATTGGACTCTTGAGTGTAAAGGAATCCCCCTTCATCCATTTGTTTGGTTCTGGTGATGACCAGGCTCTGCTAAATTGCTGTGGTGTAGACCATCCTGTCTTTAGGGAGCTCCTCTCCATTTTTAAGCCAGTGTTTCTTGATACGTACACTGTGGACAGATACTACACTGAGCAAATCAGACCTTGAGCCCTTACCAAGGAAGGCAAACCCAAGGGCAAAGCAAGAGTGATAACCCCAACTATTGGGCTGGCATTAGTCTTGACATGGTACAGGACGCGTGGATCAGCAGCTAGAACATTGAGTATGGTTTTTGGGCTTACCTCGACACCACTCTATAAATGGTTGAAATTTTCAAGAAAAGTCCTTCTTTTTGTGTTGCATAAACACCCAAATTGTGTTGTTGTATAATTATCAGTGCAGCAAGGTGGGCATTAATCAAATCCTCAACACCTTCATGAGCGATACGAGTGGCTTTGAATCCTTTGAAAAGCTGAGAGAATCCTACGCCAGTAGGCAGATAGGATACTTTTCTTACCAGCTTCAGCCCAATGGGGACACCAATACCTCATTCCCTGGCTTGTTCTCGTGAGGAGCGCAGATTGTCGATTGCGGATTGTCGATTGTCGATTGCATTGTTGTAGATTGTCGATTGTTGATTGCCATGGTTGTTTCAGTTATCTAATGTCTAATGAATTACTAATAGTATCGATTATTGCTACAGTTACTCCAGTTACTCCTCCAGTTAGATTATGAAGAGCGAGGAGCAAGCAAAAAGGAGCAAACAAGAAGCTACCTACACGGTACACCGTGTTATTTGAGTTCCTTTCCCACTGTAGCGCCGTGTTATTTTGTGTTGCCAGTTTTTGCGGGGACCTTCCCACAAAAACCGGGACCGGTAACTAAGAGGAGGGAACACGTTGGAATCCCACACGATTGCTGGCATGCTTTTGTTTACATAGAGCTAACTCATTGGACACGGGAACCAACAAGTTTTCATGTGAACCTTTTTACACGAAGTATCGAGTATGATTCCTTTTACACATAGTATCGCGTATTGGATTTAGAAGCAGTATTAGTATTCAGTACTCATAAATCAGTGTAGCAAGTGGAGCAAACAGCAATCAGCAAGGAGTGGCGTAAATGGAGCAAACAGCAATCAGCAAGGAGTGGCGTAAACAGCAATCAGCAAACAGTAGTTTAATTTAGTAATCTTAATTAGTATTTGACCATGGGATTTGAATCGTCATCGTTGTCCTCGTCTGAGTCCTCTGAGGAGGACGAGGAGGAGGACAAGTCCTCACACTGTCTCTGTCTCTGTCTCTTCCTCTTTTTGTTCTGGTGGACAAACGCGCTGGGGACAAACGCACTGGCAACAACACGRACCATATCTTTGATTTCTGTCAAAGTATGGTGATACTGTTGAAGCGATGCTTCTTGGTAAGCTTTCTGCTGTTGCATCGATGCTTGAGCAAGCGTTTCATGGTGCTTCATGGACATCTGGAACAAGGACTCGATATTAGTGTTGTTGCTGCTGATACTGCTGGGGGTAGAGCGGCTGGGGGCTCTTGAGTATGCTCTCTTGAGGGGAGGTCGAGGAACTGAAACAGTCGATGCTTGTTGAGTCGATTGGGTTCTTGCTGTTGTTGTTCTTGTTGTTGTTGTTGTTGCTTGAGTCGATTGGGTACCAGATTGAGTGGATTGAGTTTGTTGAGCAAGCTGAACCATCTAAGTTGCAGCCTCAAGCTGAGTCGGTGTCTCCTCACGCCGTGGAGTGAGGAGGAGCTCAGTTTCATCTTGGGTAAGTTCTTGTGTAGGCTGTGTAAGTTGTGAGGGCTGTTGAAGAGGTGGAGGACTTGGGGACTCATTTATGTTGTCGGCGTTGTGCTGACTACCTAGCACTAAAGTGGTGTAATCCTCATTAATTGTGTATCCTTCTTCCAGATCAAACTCCTCTTCCCCATCTCCAATAGCTGCCTTYGCACCAAGCAACAGCTTGATCTCCTTTGCAAGCTTGATTGCTGGCGACATATATGGATTCCCAGTAGGAATTTGTTTCCTGTGGAGGGAGGAGTACTTCCTGGTCATGGAGTCCTTGTCTCTTCCAGTCCCCCAGTTCTCATGATGGGTATCAACAATGACTTTCCATTGCTCTGGTCCAATAGGAAGGTACTTCCTCATGAGTCCCAGCATGTCCATGGTCTCTCTATAGGTGTAGTTGACAGAACCCCTCGATCTTCCTCCTCTTTCCACGACAGTCCTTGTTGTTGTCGTTGAAGAAGCTCCTGTCGACCTTGCAGCTGTTGCTGCTGTTGCTGTTGCTGTTGCTGTTGCTGTTGCTGTTACTGGAGCTGGTGGAGCCATGATCCTTTTTTGAGCCAGGAGCAAAGAGGAGGGTATGCTAATCACACATGGGATTTCGATGTCTTCTTCCCTCTCAAGGCGAGAGCGCTGGCTCTCTTCCCTCCTCTTTGTAGCAAGCCGCGCTTGCTGCTGCAGCATCCTCCACAACAGAAGAATCTGGATGCTTGTATTACAATTAAGTACAGGGCTCCACACACCAACCATCAGCATTGTTTCTCTTTGTTCCTTGTTCCTTCTCTTTGTTGTTCCTTCTCTTTGTCCTCATTACTTCTCTTTGCCGTCGAAAAGATCATGTGCTTTTTTCTTGACACTTGAATCGAAAGAAGTTTGCCGCCAGTTTAGGGCGCGCCTGCTCCCGAGACTGGAAATGTTAAGTCAAGGATTCCAATAAAAAAATATGTCAATTACATAAATGTTGGTAGTAGTGGGCCCAACTCTTCCAAAATTTATGTTTTTTTTTTACATAAACCGAGCCGGGCATGCCAAAAAGTACACATATATGTTTTCGGGAATGACCCATTAACGCAGGGGTCATAATTTACCCCTGCATTAACGAGAGTCGTGAGTTACTCACTACTCACTCGTGATTTAAGCGTTCTACGTGTGTTGAGCTCACAATCATACCGGCTCTCGATCTCCGGACTAGGTCTCRTCTCGTTACTATCTCCTTGCAAGACATCACTGCGACTACGTACTTCATACGAAGGAAAGATAGTCAGGGAAGGAAAAGYAGTCACCGGAACTATCACAATCCTGAAGGGCGAGATCTTCGGTGTTTCATTTSAACTATACCCATTCTCACAGAATGGGGAACTTTAATTGCCAAAATGGAAGAAGACAAAATTTGAGAACCGCGATTGCTGTCGTTATCGCGATCGCCTTTGCATGCGATACCGCATTCGATCAAAGGCAGGTTGCGTGGTTTTCTCCGGTTGCTGCGTTCCAACCAGTATTGGCAAGAAGTKCGCCGATGATCAGTTTTTCAACRACAGAAAGCGATAGATCTAGAGATTTCAGGGTGCTCTCGCCTCTGTCGTTCGTACCTCCGTCGAATACAGCTCTCTCCATGGCATTGGGCCAGAAGAACAAAAACAAGAATGGCGAAGACGACGAGGCTCCGRTTTCAAAGACTTTTTGGAAGGACCTCGGGAAGAAACCGGGGAATCTAATTATGTTACCCTTTATTGCAATTGTTGGATTCGATCTGGTCATCAATATTGCGTTCATGACAAAAAGAGCCGTCGAATATTTTGTCTTCGGAAAAATTCCCAGTACCGAGACGTGGTTTTAGAAGAGTAACAGTATATATTCAAAGGACCGTAGTGAGGTACTGTAATAATTTACTAGCAATTAGTAGAGATCGTATTTCTTTCGTTGTTGGCCTTGAAGTAATCCATTTTTAAAAGAATCTACCGCAATCTTCCTGCTGCACCTTTGGAATACTATCACATTCCTGTTGGTTGCATTTGAATCTTGTATAATGAGTTGATCGCATTTCTGCTTCTTGCCGTGAACCAAAATCATGCATTAGCCGACAAAATACTGTTCCATACTTTGTAGTTACCGAYGCATATTGCAGCTGTCATGATCCATGATGGTATGCAGATACAAGTACGTGGTGAAAAAATCGGATACAGATGAACGCCGATTCGATCCAAAACCAAGTAATAGAAGGAGATATATGCCAAGATATAGATAACTCCAGCATTAGCGTCCCCCAAGTGCAAAGGTTGTGCATTCGGTTCTGCCCAAACGCAATTCAAATAGGCATAAAGAATGTTGAATACATGGATTTGGCACAATTTCCACGTGAATGCCCATCGGATAAATTTGTGTCGACGTTCGCCTTTGAGAAAGCCTAATGTAATTGTCGGCATCAAGACAAAATTCCAAATTCCAAAAGTGATAGATGCCGACAAGAGTACGGGAAACCGCAGCGCACCTRTCAAAAGACGGACTGATGGAAAAAAGGGAGCAATCGAACATAATCCATGGCGAATAGACATAATAGTCCAGCTCCACATTGTGAACGAGACCCATGMACCAAAACTCGAGTGAAAACTGTATATTTTCCAAGAAACAAAATTCATCCACAGAAAAAATCCGATGTTGTAGTACCATTCAACAGTGAAGGCCTTGTAAAATTTACCACCAACGAAATCTTCCATGATTCCTGTATCGTTGTGAGAAGCTCGAAATTTGATGTTGGCATCCACTGTGACGTATAGTACGATGGAAATGCTGATCGCCAGCACCCAAGTCGAAAGGAGGAGCCATGAACCTTCTTTAAAGCGATCGGGTACAAAAGAAAAGATCTTTCGGATCGCCTCTTCTCCGGGTAGGCGATCCCTCAAATCCCATGGGCACGTCGGATCGAAGAAGTCSCCGATAGAAAGTTGCTTCCCCGAATCTTCTCCTGATTTCTTTTGGCTTAGATTTTCACTGCTGTTACGACACATATCTGTCTTTTAGCTAAAGTTTGTGGGTGTTCCAATCAATCGARCTGGATAGATTCTGTCGAACCACCATATGAGACAATCTTCCGGTGCTGAGGGTGGCGACGGACCAAAATCAAAAAATGAATCTTCGTTCTTCAGAAAAATCAGGGAGGAAAAATTGTTCGCACGGACCGTACGAATACTTGGTTACTTTACTTATTGTAACATCATCATTTACAAACTTCGTCGTTTCGAAAACAAACCCATGAAGTTCTAGTTTCATGAGTAGAGGTAACTGCTACCGTACGTAAACGCAGGGCAGGGGTCTAAATTATGACCCCTGAGGCAGGGGTCATACAGTAATTTAATTTAGACCCCTGACGCACGGTACCGGTACGTTTTTAAAGCGGTAGAAGATGAGTCCAATGAGTCAAAGTTGTAATTACCCTACCCTAGCTAGGCTAGGGCGAGCAGGCCCGACCGACCTGTGACTGAGAGAATTTTAAAAATTAAAAAAAAATTGCCTTGGTTGTTGGCTAGGGATGAAAAGATGAAAAACTACGAACAAACTCAATCGTTCCTTGCGTTTTGAGAACAAAATAATTACACGTGCAGTTTTATTTCTCGTACAAACCGTACGGCATGATAAGAACCAATCTTGCATACCGAAACWGCGAGTACGAGTACGTACAAGTAGTACTAGTACAAGTACCATTCGAGTAATCATACTTCTGAGAGTCACTTCCTTCGACTCTCTGTCATCGTCCCACATTTCAATTTGCAAGRGTTCCAAACCATTCGTAATATAAGCGAAGTTACAATTATCGATAAACTGTGTCGCAACAAAGATGAATTGGAAGAAATCAGCACTTTTACGTCTATTTGTAATCGGTGTTTCCCTGTCGAAGTCAGTTAGTGCTACGACCRGTGGAACTTGTACTGCGGACGATCCAGCCACTTGCGAAAACACCGATGATRAAAATCTAAGTATAAACGATGCTGATAAAAGCGRCTGCCAAGACGAGCATCCCAAATGTTCTGAGTGGGCARCAATTGGTGAATGCGAAGAGAACCCTGGATACATGCTRTTCAACTGCCGCCGAAGTTGCATKCAATGCCCTGACCAGGCGGAGGAGCTAGCAAAGATTCTCGAAGAAAAGAAGAAAAGCATTCGGGTGTGGACTGCATATGAATTAGAAATAGCGGAGGATATGGGCGAAGAGCAGCTTCTAGAAAATGAAAGTTTCAATGTTTCCGCAGACCAATCCAGTGCTCGGATTATTGCCGCTAGAAAACATATCGAAGAGTCAGGCATTGGTCAGGAATTGGWAGCAATTTGCAAAAATAAGCACGAACACTGCACCACATGGTAAGTGTCGAAATAAGCTTAGTATGCATAAACAACGCCGAAGCAATCCTAGGTGTTTTGAGGTATTTCTAAGTTAATTTTGCTGGGTTGTACCCGTCTGGCTTAACCATCGTATTATCAACGTTGACACCAAAAGGGCTGTTGCRGGAGAATGCGAGAAGAATAAGARMTATATGGAGAAAGAATGTGCCCCAGCTTGTATGCTTTGTCACATGCTTCATATTGACAACAGRTGCCCGATTGACCCAAACGCAAAACCAGCTTGGGAACCTGGTGATTTGAATGCAATGTTTGAACATCTTGTCTCCGAACCAATAGCTTCGAAGTATCCTGYGACCATTTTATCGAGGGACCCATGGGTGATTACGCTTGATGATGTGATAAGCGAAGAAGAATCTGAACGCTTGATTCAATTGGGAGCCGTAGAGGGTTATGAAAGGAGCGAAGATGTTGGTGCGAAGAGAGCAGATGGCACATATGGCTCTATGGTCAGCACTGGGAGAACCAGTTCAAATGCTTGGTGTGTCGACGAATGCTACAAAGACCCAATTGCAATGCAAGTTATCAATCGCMTCAGTGAATTGACCATGATTGACGAAAAGAATTCGGAATATCTTCAACTACTGCAGTGAGTCAGACTACTACCGCACTGAAACATACCTCAATATCAGGGTTGCGGGAAAATATGCCCCGGAAAAAGTTGTTGTTGTTGCAAAAATTATTAACACCTTTTCTGTATGTCTTCGTCCTGCAGATATGAACCTGGACAGTTTTACGAGGTGAGCATGAGAATACGACAATGGTAGTGTAAGGGTGACGGTGTTMTATTGGTATTTCTTACACGGTTTCGACGAAATTGGTTTTCCTCTCGTTCATTGATCCAGAATCACCATGACTATATCGCACACAATTTKGGACGGCAGCAAGGAGTTCGAATTTTGACGTCGTATTTGTATTTGAATGATGTAGAAGCTGGGGGAGGCACCATGTTTACGGATCTCAATATTACTGTCATGCCAAAGCGCGGACGCGCACTCTTCTGGCCAAGCGTTTTGAACGACCATCCTGACCTGAAGGATGATCGTACCGACCATCAAGGTATGATACAAAAATAATGTTTTCCACTTTGCTGCAACCTAGTTGTGTAGCGTGCTCCCCTCTAAGTCCGTCCCTTTGTTTTCTTATAATTAGCACTACCCGTYGAGAAGGGAATTAAGTATGGTGCCAATGGTTGGTTTCACCAATATGATTTCAAGGTACGTAAATGAATGATTCTGTTGGCGATTAACCATACTATTMAAAAAATSGATTCTCATAYGAGTAATTTTTTGCATACAGACTGCATTTGAAGCTGGATGTTCGTCCTAAAGGCACGGAATGCCACGAGATGCAAGACCATCGSCATGATTTGCATTCATTACAACATGGTCATGAATTGAAGGCACTCTCCTGTCTTTCCAAGAAAAAGCWGGAAGGTTGAACGCAACATCATTTGTGTGACGATGTTATCGTTTCATTTTTTGCTATCTTTTGCACCCTCGMSTATAAAGGATTCGCTACCAAATTCACTATTCTATTACAGCCTAAAGAGCAYGGCATTTAGAATCAGAAAATTTCGTGTTTGCGTTAATTGTATATACTCTTCATGTCTTGGTTGTCCACGAGAGGTACTTTTGTGATCGCTTTGGRAGTATTAAAAACATTTMGGTCGGACCCTTCTCGTTGCGTGAACATCRAATTTAAACATCGAGCGGCCTGAAATCGAATTATTGTGASAAAACAGAATGATCTCGATGSCTTGCTTGCTGTGATAAAATGTCCCAAGTAAAAATTGAATACTCGGTATTCCTTTCGTTTCTTCGTTGGTTTCAAACATGCAGAATATCACAATGTATGGCTCTGTTYTCCCAGAGAATTATAATAGTAACAACCTACATTCATTTGCACCCGTGTCAAAGGGTGCGGTACAATGAATTCTTGCCAGTGATTAAAAKCCGTCCTCGCGGGCGTTCTCGATTGCCAGGTTCAGGTCCCAGTCGTTGAGCATCAGATAGGCTCTCGCTTCGCTACGGGACATCTTGGGGCATTCCCGGAGAAGGACSCCAACGACTTCGGTCTGTGAGAGGCCCTTTGCACCCTCGACGACCGTAGCMGTTGGCACCTGAATCTTCAGCGGATYGACCCCGAGGCTCAGGYTGTCTCCGGTGAGGGTCCCGTTCGCCCTCCGGAGTTCCGATGGMGTGACATTGTACTTGACGCAGAGGCCCTGAAACGTATCGGTGGGTGCCTTGTGGTGTTCCAGAATGGTTTCGTCTCCCACAACAATCCTAGCATTGACAGCTACCGGGGCAGCTTTTTTCGGCTCGTCGGTAACCAAGCTCCATTCCTTATTCACTGGATCAAAGTCCCATCGTTTCCCCTTCGGAGCTTTCAGGGGTTTATAGACACTGTTATAACTCAGCGTAGGGGCAACGTTGGATTTTTGCATGCTCTCCATGCTTCTTGGCAAAGATACTCCGACCGGCATGGCTTAAAACAAATGATTAGTGGGCGTCTCTACTGCTTCGTGATAGATGGAGGAATGATCGAAGGGGAATGTCAAGCGAAGGAAGATATTTGAGTCGTGTTTTGTGTGTTGTCCGATAGATGTTGARAGTCAATCGATCGATTCCTTTACGAAACATAGAAAACGGAATTATCATAAGATTCGAATATTCAATGGCAACACAAGCTTACAATAGGGTGGATCTGGCGACTTTATGCTGCATTAGTGTAGAGATTTCTTCGACCTTGTATTGCGGAAGAGGTATGTGTTTGACTCTGCCCTCTTTTTTTGATTCGAATGAGTTTCGAAATWGAAGTGTGTAATAGTGTGCACTACGGTACCGTTACGTCCGGGAGAAGAGGCGAGGATAGAAGGTACTGTACCGTACGTAGTAGGGTACGGTAGTTTTTTGTCCCATCGAAGCACGAAACTGTGAAACAGAACATCGTTTTTATGCCATGCTACAGTACAGTAATTGGTACTTGCTGTACAGTATTCGATGTACGTAGTACGGTACGTGCTCCTGTCTACTCTGCCGTACGGTAGCAACTGTATTTTATTTTTTTTGCAGTCTTTGCTCTCCTGCCTTGACATCAAAGATTTTACTGGTACGTAGTACAGWACGTATGTGTTACGTACCCGTTTCCATAAATTTGTTGTAACGGGCGATACAGTAAGAAAATCTAAGCATTTTTTATTTTTTACTTACAGCAGTAATCATTGGTCGAACTAGTCGATGAATCGATCAACGCTACGATTCAGTGACATTTGTTGAAAGGAAAAATTGAAAGGAAAAACATGATTTGCGTTGAGCGAATATTTTTTCAGCGTTGGCGTCAGTCCTCGATTCTGGCGGTAATGTTCGGCTTCGATTACTATCACGCGAGTTTGTGTAGTACGAACTCTGAAGAGACTATCCAACGAATTTGTTCTTCGCCGTTGCATCAAAACAATACTATTTTAGTCGTTCCATACTTTATACAAGTGATTCTTTATCCCAATATCGTCCACTGCAATCCGAAACAAAGTTCAAGAGRTAGACATAACAAACGAACCATGTTCGAAAACATCAGATCCGGTTACGCAAGGTTGATTCCGAGTGGAACGAACGACCAAGAGGACATCGAGATAATGGCGGATCTTGGTATCTACGAGGACGAAGAGACCAGGGCCGAACGAGATGCGTTGAGCGGGGGCAACGAGTCGGATTTTTGCGGCCGCTGYCCGGTTTCGGTGCAGCGTTTTTACGACAACCTGCCCAGTCTGACGCTCCGGGAACGATTGCTGGGGTGCGTCACGATGATGGTGTGTGGCTACTTTCTTTCTTTTGGGAGCTTCATGCGCATGAAGAGCCTGTTCATGGGGAATCCAGTCCCCCTTGTCGTCAATGTCACGGTGGGAAACGTCATTGCCTTGWGCGGAACGTGCTTCCTCACCAGGCCCGAAATGCAATTCCAGAGAATGTTTAACCCTTCCAGAAAACTCGCGTCTACCTTTTACCTCGGGAGTCTCGCAGTCACGCTGGTTCTGTTGCTGCTGCCGCATTTCCCCTTTCGTGGAATGATCYTGTTCCTGCTCATGATCGGGCAGTACGTGGCAATCACGTGGTATTGTCTCTCCTACATACCGTTTGCGAGGGACTTTGTCAGCAGTGGGTGTCGTCGAATGATCGGTATGGCCGAAGACGGCTGATGACGCCGCGTTTTCTATTCTGAAGAAGACGGCCACGATGMAGTAGAAATTAAGTCGATCAGGTCAGCTTTGGGTTTCGGGCACGAAGGACGGGGAAGAAAAACTCTCTTAACTTGAAGTTTATAGACACGAGTTATTTAGTTTCGTATTTGTAATCCATGGCCCCAATCTTCCTCGTCATCGGTTCTACTTTATTTATTTTACAAAAGCTTCTTCTTTTTCTTCTTCTTCTTTTTCGGCGGTTGGAGGGGGATTTCGAGCGAATCAAAGGCAATCTCCACTTTTTCTACCTTCATGTCGTCGACGTCCTCGAAATTGTTCTTGCGGCCCWGGCTGCGGCCCTCCGAAAGGGTCGCGTCCATGCTTTCGCCGCTGTGGTTGTTGTTGTGGTAGTTTTGGCTGTTCTGGAAGCGCTCCCTCCGGAGTTCCGCTTCCTTCTCCTCGAACTCGCGCCGTTCTTCCTCCCGCTTCCACAGCTCGGGCTCGGGATCCTCAGCGATCGGCTCGGCCGCCCCCAGKACCGGGCTGGGTTTCAGCCCGAACCGGTGCCCACAATCGACCAGGATGGGGGGGRCGGGCCTCTGTTCCTGGGCGTCCCAAGAGGTCATCATGTAGGAATCGTGACACTTGGCGATTTCCGCTCGGAGAAACTCCGAGTGCTTCTTGATCAGGTGCTTCTTCAGGAAGGACGAGTCCTTGAAGAGCTTCCGGCAGAAGTGGAAGGCGCACCTGGCGCGTCCGTCCTCGTCGATCAGAGCGTGGTCTTCGATCCACCCGCCCTCGACCTGGGATTCCTGGTACCGGATGTCCTTCGCCTGTCGGTCGGTCTCCTCGTCGATGACGATACATGCTGGTGCCATCCCATCCGGGACGCTTCCGTCGCCCGGAGGTTCCGCTACCGCCGCAGCCGAAGCCCATTCCTCGGAGGTCTTGAGCGCTGCCCCGATCGAATCGTTCAGGCGCTGGACCAGGAGATCGACCTTTGGCGGGGCGCCGGCATCGGTTTCCGGCGTCGCGGCGGCTCCCTGGGGGGGCTCCGCCAGCATCTCGTCCGCGTTGGCCAGGCGCAGGTGGATGGTCGACACGGCGTGGTTTCCCTCAAAGACCTCGGCCGCCCGGGACGCCAGCTGGCACCCGTTGTAGTACGAGAAGAGGTGCACCCGGCGCAGGTAGGCGATGGCCACGTCGAGGGCGTCTTCCACTGCCTGCTTCGGGGGATCGTCGCTCTCGGCGATCCCCGGGACGGCCCTCGGCAGGAGGGCCTCCAGTCGATGCTCGGGGGGAATGTTCCGCCTGGCGTCGTAGGCCCTTGCCAGGTCCGATGCCGCGGCCATGTCGTCCTTGATCCGCTGGGTGCTCGAGAGGGCGGCCGACAGGACCTGGACGCTCGGGGAGAGGGGCCGCGTCGACACCCAGACCGACGCCTTGCGCGGGGGAACGCCCCCCCGTTCCTCGGGCTGCCCCCCCTTCCCGTCGGCGTCGACCTCCAGCCTCCCGTAGGCGTCGCTGCATTCCACCTCGAGCTCCAGCGTCTTGGGGACAAAGGTGTCCTCCTTGCGCGGCACGTGTGAGGCCCCGGCCTTTCCGCCCTTGGAGGCGGGTTGGCGGTCCGAGTGGTTGAGTTTCTGGACGATCTCCTTGCGGATCTCGTCGGGGGCCCGCAGGTAGGCGGTCCGGGTGAGATCGGGCCCCGGGAGCCCCGAGTACAGGACCATCGACGACGGATCCGTTTCCTTGCCGGTCTTGGAGGAGAGCTGCTGGACCAGCGCCACCGTCAGCTGCTCGTCCGTCACGTAGTGGGGGACCTCGAGGATCGGCAGGACCTTGCCCGCCAGCGAGAGAACATGMGTGCCCGGGACGGGGTTGACGAGGGAGGACTGCCGAAAGGATTTGGAGGGGGAGTGGTGGTGGTAATCCTGCTTTCCCGCCTGCCGGATCCCGCCGCCTAGCCGGGCCTTGAGCACGAAAAAGGACGGCTCGCCGTTGCTTTCGTTCGTCTTGGCCAGGGAGGATTCCAGCTCCCCCGCAAAGTCTCCGGCCTCCCTCGCGGCCCGGTCGAGTTCCTGCCTCGCCACTTCGTACCTTGCCAGCGGGCTGTAGAGGGACCGAAACCACGAGTCGTCCATGTGCTCGTTGAAAAAGGTCCGGACGTAGTTGAGGCAGTAGGACTTGCGGTACTCGTCGTAGTCCTCGTCGGTCTTGCCCTCGTTGGCCTCCTTCCATAGGAACTGGCACAGCATGGGTTCCTCCACGTAGACCACCGACGGGTGGGCCTTGCCGGGTTTTGGGTGGTGGAAGCCGCTCCCGCTTTCCCGGTCTCGGTGGTGGCCCTCGCCCCGGTCCCTCCTCGGCGGCGGGGACCGCGACCGGTGCTTGCGCTTGCGGGAGGAGGACGACGGGTGGCCGCGGGAATCCTCCGGTCGGTGGTGGTGGCCAGGATCGGCGGCGTCGTACCGCGAGGTGGGGAGCGARTCGTACAGGTGGGAGGGCAGCCCGCTTCCACTTCCGCTCCCGGACCGCTGCGGGGAGGGGGACCGRCGGCCCCGGGCGGCCGGGATCTCGCGGCCAAACTCGTCCACCGGCATGTTCGGGACGGGTGCAATGGGTTGTTGGTTGTTGGCTGTTCCGGCTTGCTYTTTATGGATCGGTGGCGTGTTAGCTGGGCAAGTTTGGGGAGTGGCTGGAGGGCTGGATGGCTCGAAAGAGGCTGGGATTGGGTCTTTCTCGGCGCTTCCCGGCAGCCGACTAGCGTGATGCCGTGCAGATACGACTGTATGCGATGTGCAACGGCAGATCCGTTGTTATTGCGCTGGCTTTTAGGAGTCTACTACGAGTACCTCTGCTTCGTTGTTTTGAAAAGGTAGGSAGGTGAGTGTCTGTCGCACCGTAAAAAGTACGGTACGTAGCTGTAGTAGTTGCTACATTTAGTACTACTCTTCACCGCAGCAGTGAGAGACAMTTCTAACCAGAGAGCAAAGACAAGGAATCTCAGTCAGTTACCGATGGCCACAATCTCCCACCTACCGGTACCTCCCACCAATTACGGCGGGTACGGGAGCGTTTTCGCTTTACGTGATGGCGGACAGACGAAAATCGAATCCGCGCCCAAACCAGTCGTTCCTAGAGTCCCTGCGAAAAAAAAACTCATCGTCCTGAGTGTACGGTACGTACCATGCCTTACGTTCAGTACGTACGCGTAGSATTACAGCATCAYGGCAACAGCCGATGAAACAGCAGCTCGCAGACTTTCGAACAAGATACAACGGCACGGTACGTACCGTCCTACGATCTACGATCGCTGTMGATGTACTAGTAGTCATGTCGTACAGTACTGATACCTACGTAGGAGATTCTTCGATAGAGCGACATGGCGGTACGAATGCTCGTACAACCTACCAAGGAATAAACATCAATCATTTCCTTGTTTTTTTTTCCTCTCTTCGAAAGGAACACTCTTCTTAGCGTAGTTCCCTTGTTCCTCTTGCCTTGGAATCGTTGTGCATCGCAACACACCATCGCTAGGAACCACGGAGCAGCACCAGCACCAGCACCAGCGCGTCCCATCGCAGAACAAACACAGCACACGACACAGAAGGCACACACACGTAGCGAAGCAAAGCAACGCAAAACATACCATCCACCGCAATGGCGCGATCGGAAGAAGCCATCCTGCGGCGCGCCCTGAAGCGGCAGAGGACGGAGGGCGAGCAGCGCTCCGCCGATCGGGCCGACATGAACAAGCGGGMGGCGCTGGAGCGAGAGCGCAGGACGGAGCGGGGCCGCGAGCAAGGGAACGGCGGCGACAACCACCGCAACAACGGAAGCCGCCCCGGTGGCGGCAACCGCAACGGAGGCCACCACAACCGCAGCGGCGGGGGCTTCCGGCCCCGGTCCGGTGGGCCGCCGCAGGGATCCCGGCCGGTTCGGAGGGGAGCCCCCCCSCGCCAGGGCRAKGGGGGTTCCGAGAAACCTTCCTGGGCCGAGCAGGCGAGCTCGGGAACGGTGGAGAAAAACCGGGAGCTGAGGGCAGCCTACCTGGCCACCGGTGGAAGCGGGATGTCCCCGGAGGACCTGGAGCGCGCCAAGCTGCTGGTGGCCCGGGACGAGCGGAAGCGGGCCAAAAAGGACCGGCGCAGGGCCGGTGCCGGCGGCGACGGGGCGGCGGCAGCGGCGAAAGGAACCGGCGCGGCGGGAGCGGATGCCGCAACGGCCGGGGCAAACGGCAAGGAGGACAAGAAGGCCACCCCCAACAAGGACGGCAGCRACGGCAAGTCCGAGAGCGAGGGCGGGGCCGGCAACGACCACGACAAGAAGCAGAAATCCTCCCGGGCCCAGGCCAAGCGAGACCAGAACAGAGCGCTGCGCAAGCTCTATGCAGAGACGGGCGGGAAGGGGATGAAGCCGGAGCAGATCGAGCGTGCCAGGCTGCTCGTGGCGAGGGACGAAGCGAAGAAACAGCGGAGGGCGGCGCAAGCGAAAAAAGAGACGAAAACGCCCCAGCAATGAGCCAACAGGCCTACCCAATCCCAACAATTCAATACCCATACCGATACCGACAACGTCTCTTCTCATAGTAAGAACAACAMAACTAKTACCACTTGCTGAGCATGCGTGGAACCGTTTCGTTCCAAAGCCCTGTTGCTGCCGGAGGGCARKGCAGSAGCGKCGTTTCGAATGCGTGCTATCACCATTACTTTCTAGGACCTGTTTCGTTCCCTGCTTTTGTGCGGTACTGCACGGAATAGAAGCCGTTCCGTCCAACACCACCCACTATGCCCCTGGTCTAGGTTTCGGATTTCGGATGGCTRTCTGGTTTGCACTTGTATTGTCGAGATCAGAATTTCTCGTTTTACAAGGTTGTCTTTGAGACGTGACCAAGACTTGATCGAACGATTCTACGGCTCAACCTACTAAAGTACGAAGTAACGGTACGTCTAGTTGTTTTGAAATTGTTTTGAAATAGTGGCGTGAGGGCAGCAATAGAAAGTAGTAGTATGAATTAACGTACGGTACCGTACTGTTTCTTGTTCCTACAAGATGGATGGTACGCCTACTGCCAGTTTTTTTATGATAGGATGTAGCAGTATTTTTCGTGGTGAAAAAGCATAAAGCATGTTGTGAGGTATGTAACGTACTTACGGAAACAACCATGAACAAAACGGTACGGTGTGCCCTACGGTATTTACTTAAGGAAGACCATGAACCATGCTATGAACAAATGAAGACGACATGGAAGTACGTACGTACCGTACTAGGGGTTCTCTCTTTTGTACAACTACGACATCTTGAAAATGGAGCGCGACATGGCACCATTACGTATCTTGTACGTAGAGAGCCCAAGGCACTCCTACCTACTTCTAGGAGTGTCTGACAGTGGGCACAGAATCGGCCGATTGAAAACGAAAATCGATAATAAAATTGAAAAAATAGTCCGCAACCCTCCCCAGCTTGTTCTCCTCATGGTACGAGTACGAGTTACGCGTTACTGCGACTGAATGAATTGATCTTAGCGGACGAAGTGAGCCGTAGCAAACGTATAACAGCCTGTCGACGGGCGGTGACTACCGAATTTCCATCTATCTACCGGTATCCATCCATACGCACTTACGTACTTCCATCGATTCGAGGGCTACCAAAAACGAACAGAACGGGTTCGATCTCTGGGACTTTTGCCGATTGTATCACGAACGAAGCATGTCTCTGTTTGTTCCTCCACACCGGCACGACGAGCATCACAGCCGGCATCASGTGCCGCCACGGGTTCATCGTCGCCCCGCCGGGAATCCGATGCCCAAGGGTCTTGCTCTCGTCCTGCTCTCGCTCCTCCTCCTTTCCAAGGGGTGTCTTTGCTCGGCCGACGCCTACGCGAGCGGCTCCCCCCCTTCCCACGGCCGAATCGCGGGGGATGCTGTTGCCCTCATGGACGCAAAGGCACTCCTGCTATCGGCGGGGGTCTCGGAAGGAAACCTGTGCAGGGAACGGGCACCGGCGGCCGGTGSGGGGGAAGACGACGCTCATTGGGCGGAACAACTCCCCCTCTGCGAYCCMTCYGGTTCGGATGCCGACAACAGYGGGGCGGACGCGGGACGGCGGTGGTGGAAGCAACGGAGGGGCTCCAGGAAACTCGAGGAGSAGATCACCCTCGAGGGAGACCCCTGGTCCTTTTTCGTCATGGCGTCGTGYGCCCTGGCCTGCGTCACGACGGCCGCCCTGGCCGCAGGTCTGAGCATGGGGATGCTCTCGCTCGATCCGCTGATGCTCCTCGTCAAGATCCGGGCGYCGCGCTCCCCGGAGGAAAAGGAGCAGGCGGAGTCCCTCCTTCCCATCGTCAAGAAGCACCACCTGCTRCTCGTGACGCTCTTGCTCCTGAACTCGATGGCGAACGAGGCCCTCCCGCTRTTCCTCGATCGCCTGGTGCCCCCGTACCTCGCGGTTCTCCTCTCGGTGACCTTTGTACTGATGTGAGTAGACCCCGATCGTTCGCGCTGGGTCACCGCCAACCCGGGATGTKKGGATCGACGCTCGGTGCGCGCACTGCCGTTCTAACCGATSTTTCGCTTTCCTCTTTTCCAATGCTTAGCTTCGGCGAGATCGTTCCGAGCGCGATTTTTACGGGTCCCAAAAAAATCGAGCTGGCAAGCAAAATGGTGGGTTTTGRCGTTATARTGACTCTCGTACYTTTCTGTTTTATTTTTTCTCTTTCTGTAAGAGTTTTTGTATGGACCGGCGAAGCCTGCACTGACGTCTTTGTGCGAAACACCGCRTGCYTTTTCTATCTTTTTAGGTTCCAATGGTGAAAGTCGTCATGATTCTGGTATGGCCAATTACCTATCCCATCGCCAAGATWCTGGACCACCTTTTGCACGCCGAAGACGAGGACGGGGAGAGCGCCTTTGACCGGGGCGAAATTTCGGCCCTTGTGCGGATTCAATACGAGGAACGAGTTGCCAACAAACGACGGCGRACCCTTGGTCGCATGGCAAGTAYGAGGGCTTCCGGCCGCGATTTCGCCAGCGCGATAGWTAGCAGCCAAGAAGCCGACATCGAGGCCTTTGCGGGATYTAGCTCGAATAGAGATTTGATGSAGAGACAATCTTCCGGGCTCTCGTCGATCAGCGAWKCCCGAACTTTCCGAGAGTCCATACACATGGACGAAGTGATGATGGTCGAGGGCGCCCTCCAGATGAAGACCAAAACGGCATACGACGTTTTGACCCCCATCCATAGAATGTATGCCGTTCCCGAGGACCTAATTCTGAACGAGGAGAGCATTGTTGATATTTATTCTTCCGGTTACAGTCGGATTCCGGTGTACGAGCGCAATCCTTCGAAACCAAAGTGCAAAGACGCAATAAAAGGCATCCTGAGTACMAAAAATCTGATCGTTGTCAACTCGACCGAAAACCGTCCCCTACGAACGATGCCGCTCCTCACTCCTCCGTGCGTWTCGCCGGTGATGAACCTTGTGGAGCTCGTCAAYTTGTTTCAAACYGGAAGAGAAGGTCATTTCGCTTTGGTCTGCACCCGRCCCCGTGTCGGAACCGCGGCATTGGGGGAATCGAAACCTCTACCRGCCGCGGCAGGTTTGCTGGGGTAAGTTTTTTKATTCGTGAAGTATATTGGATTCTTATCAACCCACATGCGGTGTTGAAATTGACTTCTTCTCATTCTGGACTTCGYGGCGTTTCTCTCGAACAACAATGCAGGGTAATCACGTTAGAAGATGTACTGGAAGAGTTACTGCAAGAGGAAATTCTTGACGAAAATGATCTGGTTGAAAAGGACGCGAAACGCCGCATTGCTCAATGGGTCGGTACGAAATGGAAGAACCAGAAAAGAAAACGCGATTTGAGAGCGCAGGGCAAACACGCATCGCTCGCTTCTGTTGCAGAAACAATGCAAGCGACAAACGAATCGACATCTTTGCTCGGAAGAAATGGGAATRGAAGGGAGCATCCTAGGAAGAAGAACCAAAGCATCCTAGGCTCTATTTACCAAACGATGGGTCTTGAATGAGCAGGCCAGCAAAAACATGGTCCGAAACTTCAGATCAATAGAACAACGTACTGAAATTGCTCTATAACAGTCTATAACAGAGGATTWAAAACTAGACATATTGCTAGCTTCATATTTCATCTTCACTCCATTTGTGCTTTTCTTTTTCCTTTCGCTCCCTTAGACCCCACGGAAGAAAGTCTTTGCTGCGCCTTCCATATTCACCGTCTTCCCAAACATTTTGTTTCCGGCTTGTTGACCCTCTCCGGCGTGCCACACCACTGACAGATCCGGCTTCTCCGAGAGACCGGTCTTTGGCATCGACCACACTCGTTGCAGGCATTCCCTTGTAATTTCGTTGGTCTCCAGTGAAAAAGTGCGTTCTCCCAATGATGACTTGAGTGCCCTCATCAAATTCATCGTCTTCGTCGAGCCACTTTTCGAGATTTGATGTGCTTTCTTCCTCGTCTTCYAGAATCGTAAAATCCATTGATATATCTGCACCTCCTATTTCTCCTGACTCTAGGAGCTGCTCGATCATATTTTCGTTTGCCGAGTCGTCTTGCTGTATTTCTTCGCCGGCAAGCATTATCCTGGCATTGCAAGCCCAGGCATCCTTCTTTATTTCAACTTGAGAGGCTTGCTGAGAAAATCGACTGCTGTTTGGCATACCAAAACTTTCCCARTCATCTCCATCGCTTTCATCGTCGCTGTCYTCGGTAGATTCTTCCGGAGGTTTACAGGAAAGAATGTCAAGGCATTTMACGTTGATAGTTAAGGGATCGCCCCAGAGCCCTTTGAGTCGACTAGCTTTTTCCATTGCAGAGTGAAACGTGTCGAACTTCGAGATAGGAATCAGTGGTCGGTATCCCATATCCATATCATCAACGTAATCCCAAGCATACAAACTCGATGGTGACGAATAAGACTCAATGCCTAACCCCTCGAGTAGTATTCCTCGTAGCTCAATTAATTTTTCTTTGGACTCCTCGTCGGGCTCTAAGCAAAGAACGCAAGGACCGCCAAAATCTTCCTCAATTGATTTTCKCTGTTCTTCTCTTAGCTGCGCTGGTGACTTCTTCCTTCTCGCCGTGCCACGAGGTAATTCCTCTTTTTCGTCTTGACGATTTCCCCGTGCGGCTAATGCATTGGCATTCTTTTTCATAGCTTTGATCTTCCCTTTTCGCTCCTCTGATTTGATAAGATCTTGAATTTCCTGCTCGGATTGTTCGCTCAATTTTCCGTAATAGGAGTCAAGCGTATCGCCATCKACCACTTCCGGCAAGAATTGTTGGTCTTCCCATTCTTTCTTGGTTGCCTCTACATTGGGAACGATCACCCATGAATCCAATGTCACTTCGAAGGGTTCTAATTCAAGATCTTCGATGAGCTGAGCTATATCAAACGCTATATTCTGTGCYTTATCGAAGGGATGAAACAATCGAATAGCGGGTGGCCATTCCCGAAAGACCGGATCTCGTGCATAATGACGTGCTCGCTGGAGACGATCCCAGTCTTCCAATGGTGGAACAATTGCCAGTGCCGTTTGAAAATCCGATGTCTTCCTCGATAGTGGCCTTTGATACTCCTTACTGTTATCGTTCGAGTCATAATCCTSATCATGRTCTTCCATGGGAGGCCCTCCTAAAACCATCGAYAGGCATTGTCGTTCTCCTAACGAGGAACCGTTTCGTACAATTCTGAGTATGTTTCGGCAAACTATTGCTCCTGATATTCCTTTCACATCATTCGTCCTGCTATTCGCTGAAAATARCCTACGTTCAAATCCCATCGCTCTCGAGAAAGCATTTAATGGCATCACCATGTAAACCATATAGATTGCAATTGATGCAATGATCAAGGTTTTAGGGAACTTTCTCGGAGCGACAACATAATTTTTCATTTGTATTTGTACCGCTAGTGACTTGACTGACTTCAACTCTTCTGGAGTCTGAAATGCCGTGGCTTTCTTTGCCATACATCTTRCACTCGTCATGGCACAATKATWTTCTGCAAGGAGTCGGTCAAAATCCAGTGCAGGCTTTTGGCTATTGATTCGTTCTTTTTCAACAGWAMCTCGTGCGTATTATTGTAAACGGAGAATTCGCGAACTACTAACAAGCGATCGTAGAATCTTCTCTATCAAACCATCTATCCAACATAAATGAACTGGATGGAAGACGAAAAATGGCCAGCTGCCTTTGGATATTGCAGACGGCTTTTTTGTTGTTCGTTTTCTTCAGAAAAATGATTCTTGAATTGATGAGTAAAGAAATGAAATGGATGATGGATCATTGACCTGACAAATTGGTGGTGTTTTGTGAGGGATGACGGAATGAAGAATCAATGTCAACGAAAGAATTTACTTACCTTACTGTTCATACTACAGTACCTGTACCGGGACGTACTCGTACTACTGCTCGATCGGACTTTGGTATGGTGTTACAACGGTAGATGCAGTAGAGTGCGTATCATAGTGTACTGTACATGRCGTACCGTACTGAACCTTTACTCTAGGATCAGAATAAGATTTTAGAATTCCTACTACTAAATTGGAAATTGACGACGCTGATTGGCTACAAAATTGTAATCGTGCCGTACGACAACCGGACGCAGGAGATGTCTGTTACTTCCTCCGATGCACTACTTGTACCGGTATGCTGAGTGTCTAGTAGTTTGCACCTTTTGTGCTGAAATAACCTCAAAATAAGGGCAATTGGGTCATTCCTGATATTATAGATGTGCTACTTGTTTTGATAGACTGACAGACCAACAATTAATTAACCCTATAACAATTTTTATTACATTGTATAGAGGCCAAACGACCAAGTAATTAATTTTTTTAGGATGGAACAACTCAGCACAGCGAGGATTCAAAACTTTGAGTCCATCATTGAAAGATTCAACAGAGAGCCTGCCAGAATCTTAAGACAGAACTCAACAAAATCAAGACTCTTATATCCTAAACCAGATTAAAGAGAGGCACCTYTATTGAGAAGGATGCCAATGAGCCTCTAACTGCAGTGCCAGATAGTAAGTAAACTATGTCCCAAAAACAATGGGTGCTCTTAGTCAGTAGTACATTTTATTTCCTTTCTTTGTTGTTGCAGCAAATAGAGCAGCAGCAGCAGCAGCAGTAGCAGGAGGAGGAGGAGGAAGCCAGTGACTACAAAAAGAGGACCAACTGTAAAGAGGCGATTGATTGCCGCCCCCATCTCCACAATATTTTTGTAGTAAAGAAGATCATGGCAAAAGCTGCTGGCAACACCACCGGCCAGAAGGCTGGTGTAGCAAACTACTCTTGCAATGAGCTACACAGTCTCATGAGTATGATATTTGAGAGGCTTCCCATTAGCCCAGATGACTGAGATCTTGTTGTGAAGAATGACGACCAAGCAGAATTGTGGCCCTTCTTTAGAAGCCACCAATCCATCAAGACCAAGAATCAAGCAGTTAAGAGGATGAAGAGCTCAACAGGAAACCCACACATGATACCATAGTAAGCAAAGATGGCTCGCAAAGCCCATATCTTGATTGGTCAGAAGACAAATATTGGTAATGGAGAGAAAAACTTTCATCTGAAGAAAGGCTTAATTCAGAGAGAGGCTGTGGAGGGTTTACCAGTGCCGATAGCTGGAGGAGCATCTGTSGTAAGGAAGTGACGTCCCTGTTCAACAAGAGGAGGTTGTCTCTGTCAGGATCCCTCTGTAAGCTCTTGATGAGGCTATCCTGGTATTCCTTGAGTGCAAATGCTGGATCAACCACAACCTTGGCACCATTGCACTCATCATGGACTCTCACTATCGCTTGTTGATAGACATCATGGTCASCAATACCACTGTCTTGCCAGGCCCCTGGGTAGCTGTACACTGCAATCCTTATTCTACCATCTGGGGAAAAGGTGAAGACACTGTTGACAAAGGTGTTCTCCTTCTATGTGTTGCAGAATGCTCTTTGTTTAAACCAGTCCTGTGACTGTTGAATGACTTGCTTTAGTCCATCAGCTGCAGCCCATAGTACTTGTTGTTGTTCTCCAAGCCTTGGATACTGGTCTCCAATAGCCTTAACATGACCAGCATTGATTTCTTAAGAAGTTGGATGACTGACCATGGCGTCTGGGTGTTTGTGAAGAGCAACAAACATCACTCTCCTTGAAAACTTGAGCCAGTTGTCCATCACTACGTCACACAAACGGGATCCATGGTGTTGCGCATTTCGCGCGGTCTATACCCTTAAATTTTCTGGTCCTACNAAACTATGTCCCAAAAACAATGGGTGCTCTTAGTCAGTAGTACATTTTATTTCCTTTCTTTGTTGTTGCAGCAAATAGAGCAGCAGCAGCAGCAGCAGTAGCAGGAGGAGGAGGAGGAAGCCAGTGACTACAAAAAGAGGACCAACTGTAAAGAGGCGATTGATTGCCGCCCCCATCTCCACAATATTTTTGTAGTAAAGAAGATCATGGCAAAAGCTGCTGGCAACACCACCGGCCAGAAGGCTGGTGTAGCAAACTACTGTCGCAATGAGCTACACAGTCTCATGAGTATGATATTTGAGAGGCTTCCCATTAGCCCAGATGACTGAGATCTCGTTGTGAAGAATGACGACCAAGCAGAATTGTGGCCCTTCTTTAGAAGCCACCAATCCATCAAGACCAAGAATCAAGCAGTTAAGAGGATGAAGAGCTCAACAGGAAACCCACACATGATACCATAGTAAGCAAAGATGGCTCGCAAAGCCCATATCTTGATTGGTCAGAAGACAAATATTGGTAATGGAGAGAAAAACTTTCATCTGAAGAAAGGCTTAATTCAGAGAGAGGCTGTGGAGGGTTTACCAGTGCCAATAGCTGGAGGAGCATCTGTGGTAAGGAAGTGACGTCCCTGTTCAACAAGAGGAGGTTGTCTCTGTCAGGATCCCTCTGTAAGCTCTTGATGAGGCTATCCTGGTATTCCTTGAGTGCAAATGCTGGATCAACCACAACCTTGGCACCATTGCACTCATCATGGACTCTCACTATCGCTTGTTGATAGACATCATGGTCACCAATACCACTGTCTTGCCAGGCCCCTGGGTAGCTGTACACTGCAATCCTTATTCTACCATCTGGGGAAAAGGTGAAGACACTGTTGACAAAGGTGTTCTCCTTCTATGTGTTGCAGAATGCTCTTTGTTTAAACCAGTCCTGTGACTGTTGAATGACTTGCTTTAGTCCATCAGCTGCAGCCCATAGTACTTGTTGTTGTTCTCCAAGCCTTGGATACTTGTCTCCAATAGCCTTAACATGACCAGCATTGATTTCTTCTGAAGTTGGATGACTGACCATGGCGTCTGGGTGTTTGTGAAGAGCAACAAACATCACTCTCCTTGAAAACTTGAGCCAGTTGTACATCACTATGGATGTCAAGCCAAAGGCCATGGCTATCAACCTTGCAACAGATCCTCTTGTTCTGTACCAATAGAGGACCAGTCCAATAGCACAGACTACATAGACCTCTCTCTTCTTCCCCTTAGTAGGCTTTCCACTGGGGTAACACAAGACTTCCACAATGTTGTTGTTGTCATCTAGTACAGTATACTTGTCGTAAACTGGAGCAAAGACATCGACAAGATCCCTGAAGACCCTGTGGTTGACACCACAGCAGTTGAGCAGTGCTTGGTCAAGCCCTCCTGAGTGAGGTGATGGGAGGGGGGATCAGCATATCTCCTGATTGCAAGCTGCTGGGGTGTTCTCCTATCCCTCCGTCATCTCTCTTCTGGAGATAGTTTGTTTCTGTAACTTTGTTTCTTGTCCACTTTCAACTGGATATCGTCCRAGAGAGTGTTCTGGACCTCTTCCAACTTTGTGCGATGCTAATTTTCAGAGTATGCACCTTTAGAAAAATTAAATGCCTCCACACAACTAAATTTATTAAAATACACCACACAATTCCAGGGCATCTAATTTCAGAAAGTTTCTGTCCTCCAGCATGTCACCTGAATTTCCAAAAACTTCTGATTTGACCAATCRGAATGAAGATTATTTGTCTATTTACTTCTTTCAAGGTTAGGGATATGTACAGGTGAATCATTTCTGATCCTCATTCCGGTTGTCATGTTGCTTGCTTCATCTGTACAGAACCCCCCATCCTGCACTAAGTTCGCAATCATTCTGTCCGTACGCCCAAAAAATATTTTTTGTAGGATCRAAACAAACTTTTGTTCAGTTTTTGTTGACATTATTCTTCTCTTCATTTACAATGGTGCATTTGGACAAGATTTTTTGATGTCAGTAGGCATGCTTGGCATATTTTACTCAGGAAAAAGATAGCCCAAAATGTAGGACTGGTTTGGACATCTGCTAGCTGACTCTATATGATAGTTTTACTGTACAATGACTACTTTGACTAATTGATTTGCATGCGTTCCTCTAAGCCAAAAATCTCCATTGAACACATGTGCAAAACCATTGGGTTGTTTAAAACTGCACACATGCATCATTGTGTAGTATGTTTGTAGTAGTAGTTCTTTATTGTTAGTAACAAAACTAGTCATTACACACAAAACAAGGGCCCAAAAATCTACAACTGGATTGTAGATTTCTTGGGCACCAACTCTGTACAAAAAGGGTTTTCTTGACATTAGTGTGTTTCTTACTAGTACAGATATCATAACAATTGATCGCGTTACTAAGAAAGTGTTTCCCATTGTTAATTTGATGATGTCATCCTTATTTTTTCAGTACAAAATCTACGACAGCAATTGATCGCTTTACTAAGAAAGTGTTTCCCATAGTTAATTTGATGATGCCATCCTTATTTTTCCAGCAGTACAAAATCTACAGAGCTCTACTGAGTGTTGCTCCCTGAAATTTTCAGCATGTTTTGCCTTCTGAGAAAGAAGCAGGATTGGTTCTCTGCCACCAAAATAGTTGCAAACTACCTCAGGACATTTTGTRCTGTGTTCTACTGGGCTAAGGATGGCATGACTAATTAAACGATTTGAACCACTTTCTTAGTAGTTATGATATCCGTAGAATTGCCGCGATCACTTGTTTTGATATCCGTATTATGTTGCAACTTTATGAATATAYTCGTGTCCGAATACATAATTTATCGCGCAMATTGCGCTTCAAGTGTGAACCCAAATCAGAGCGCTCTGATCCAACGGAAATTTGACTTTGCTCTTGAAAATTAGTGAACTTTTAGCGAGTCATTGATTGGACTTCGTCGTTTGCGATAATTTTCTTTTTARGGGTTCGGGGGCATGGTCGTAAAYRTTGAAAAGGAACGATGAGAAAAGATTGTAACCTTAAGTATTGTAATTTAGGGCYTGCTAGGAGAAGGCATATGTGTTGACAGATWGTGTTGCTYTTTACAACTTGTTGTTCTTTTTTGTGTGGCGTGGGAAATACAGCCCGGTAAAAAAAGGCCATGAGCCGTTCTTTTGAGGTTCGTACTCATGCTTGGTGTTCAGGATGAGCTATGRCAAGCAGGGAAGGGTTAGTCTTCATCTTTGACGGTTATTGCAAAAAGGTTACCGTAACGTAGCAGATAAAGACTTCATCCGAACTTTCGAAATAATAATTAAAGCACGGCATCGTCWAGGGCTAACGTAGTGTYGATTGAAGAGAACAAAGCTCAATTGTAACAGGGATCGCGATCAAAGCAGGATGATGAATGCAGGGATCGCTATTTAGATCCCTGCTGTGATGAAGATACAGATTGTCGATATCACTGGTCCTACTCCGTACCTGAACTAGGGGTACGTTTACTCCTTGGGCTGGAATGTCTTCGTTTTCGAAGGCAATCGACCTCGAGGAAAAGTTTCTCAAAGAGATAGAAAAGTCCGAGAGGACGAGATCACCAACGCCAGCTGCTTCATCGTCCCATCAACGGGACAATCCCACRAAACGAGACAKTCACTCTCGTTCTCGTCGAGCTCCGCGTCGCCCATCCAATTACGCCAGCGATAATCATAGCYACAAYAGTAACGAAAGCAGTAATGAAAGCAAAGACTTCGATCTCAATTACGATTACGGTGTCTATGAAAACAGCCCCAGCCCCACGGTTTCTTTGACTAATTCTTCCATGTCAGTCTCTTTCCCCAATGACCGCAAACCTTCTTCTTCAGATAAATACTCCAGCAAAAGAATTGAGAAAGATCATGCGAAAGATGAAAGGACGAGAAGAACAAGGACCACAGGCATMTTGCCATCTGGAGGYGGTCCGATGATTGAGATTTCGAAGATCACCGCACTGGTCGAAGAAGAACTCCAGACTCAAAGGGACAAACACAAGGATCAACTCAACCGAWCGSTGGCGAAGTTCAAGGAGCGGCGAGAGAAATACCAGGAAGAAAACAACCAGCTCCGTGCACAGCGGGACGAGGCAAGGAAGGAACTAGAGAAGGTGAAAAAAGACTACGCTAGCCAGAAAAGAGCCGCAGAACGCAACAACCGCTTACAACACCAACAGAAAAGTCGTATAGAAAGTCTCGAGGAACAGAGAGAACTATTCGAGGAGCTGCAGGCWGAGCGCGACGCACTTTTGGACGAAATTKCTAGGGCACAGCAGCACCAAMAAAAGACCAAAGACGAGCTGTCTTCGCTGAAGGTAAGAGTCCGCGAGGACTCTCAGAAACGGCTTGCCGTGATGGAATCTTTGTCCWTATCATGGGACACGGAACAAAAGGAAGCAAAACAAAAAGAGGCTCTYCTCAACTCGGAGCTGGACATCATGTCCAAAACACTGGCTGCCGAACAMGAATTCTTGAAAAACAAAAACAAGGAGTTCGACAAACTCGAAGCGCAATACCGATCTACGAAAAAGGAGCTGCGGTCCATAAAGATGACGTTGATAGCAAAGAAGGAAGAAATGGACGACGAAATCAAACGCGAACGGGAGTCGCACAACCGTGTCAATGAGGAGCACAAACAAATACTGAAATTAAAGAACGACGAAATATTCATGGCCGAGACCACGATTCGGAATATGAAAGCAGAATTGAAATCAACCAGGGAAAAGGTTGCTCTGAAAGAAAAATCCATGGCCTCCTTGTCGGAAGAGATGAAGAAGAGGATAGAGAGGAASAACAGCTCGGACCCCGAAGCTGATGCCCTACGCGAGGAAAACCGTCGCCTGGAAGCCGAGATCAAGGAATTGCAGAAGCAGGTGGAATCCTATCTCGCTAACATGGCACTCCAGCAGGAATTCTGTAATAGYCTCAAGAGCCGTATCTACAAGGAACAAGAGAACGAGCAAGAACAAGTGGAAGAAATTCACAAGCTTCGAAAAAAGATCAAGAAGCAGCAGAAGGAGCTCWCGGCCAAGGACCTGCAGATCAGCCAGCTAAAGGCACTTTTGGGTGAACCCAAGGGCGATTCTTCGTCAAGGGTTTCATCAAAAACGGGGTCGTCGCCGGCAATAAAAAAGTCCAGTCTGAAGAAAGCAAAGGGAGGACGCAAAGGCGGATACAGGTCGTCGTAAGGGGGATGTAGCACAGCAACTACAATCAGTAGGATCTCGTGTTATCAAGGAGTGTTCGACCAAATCGGGAGGCATTCGATCAAGAGTAGCATGTTGTATATTATTCATAGCTATAAAAATAGAATCATCATTTACAATAACTGTTTTCAGAAAAAGGAATCATCGTCTGGTGTTCTAAGATTTCTAATTATATGGTGCGGTGAACACGCCAATCTCTACCGTCTGTCAGCATATTTAATTATTTTAATCTGAGTGTATTTCCTTTCCATCCGATCAAAACATGTCACCGTCGTCGTCGAAGTCGACAGTGATTTGCTCGTCCAAGGCCTTCATGTCGTTCTTTACGTCCAGCGTCTCCTCTCTTTCTGTCTGCTTYGGCGGCTCCTCAGAATTGTTCTTGTCTTCGGGATCCTCGGCCACGGCGGGGCCTTTTAGTTTCTGAAATTCCTCGACGAACGACTGGTCCGACAGGTCGTTCGGCGTCAGGGTGTTCTCGTCACAGGATCGAAAGAGTTCCTTCAGCGAAGCATCGTCCTGTGCCGAGCTCCGGGGGGTGTCCCCGTCGTGGTCSGCGTGGTCGGGATCGGCGCCCAGCGCCAGGAGCAACCGGCAGCACTCCACGTCGCCCCCGATCACGGCGGTTTGCAGTATGCTGATCCCGTCGTGGTCCACCGCGTTGATGTGTGCCCCGGCCAGGATCAGGGCCTTGACGCAGTCGATGTGCCCCCGGTCGGTAGCCAGGTGGAGGGGCGTCTGCCCGGACGTGTCCAGCGCGTTGGTCGGAGACGACGACGACGACGAAGAAGAAGAAGACGTGGGCTCGTCTCCCGGTCCACCGGAAGCCTCCGCCAGGCATTTGTTCAGCCCGTCCAGGTCCCCCTCCCTCGCGGCGGCGTGGATCGGGTACCGGGAATCCTCCAGGGCCATAGCCTCCTTGTCGTAGTCGTTSACCAGGGTGCTCGGTTTGTCTCCCAGGCCCATCACATCGATCGCGGCGTCTCCCTCTAGCTCGTAGTTCTCGTCSTCGGTGCTGCTGCTTCCGATGCTCCTCACGAATTCAAAGTGCAGCGCCTTTTCGATGTAGGTCTGCATGGCGGTCATTCGGTCCATGCCCGCGAGGCGGGCCCAGGCCTTGTACTTTGCCRTGCCCACYAGGTCGTAGGAGGGCGGGGGCTCCGGTCGGTATTCCCGGCAGTCTCCAAGGGTTCCCTGTTTGTACAAGCCGTAGTAGTCCAGCTGCGTTGGCTGCGGCAACCCAGACAGCTGGGGCCCCATCGCCTTAACGCAGGCCTGGAATCGTTCGTTGACCAAGGCTTCCTCCGAGCCCTCCCTGAAGTCCAGGTTGGGTTTCGTTTCCTCGGCATCGCCGTCGTCTTTGCTCTTGCGCCGCCGCCGAAGMCTCCGTTCTGTGTATAACGCAAGAGCCACCGTTGCGACGGCCAAAGCCGTCGTAACGAAGAACGATGTAGGGGRTTTTACTGACACCATGGTAGAATAAATAGGGGCGGGAACCCGCTAAAGTACTGTTGACAACAATGGAGGTCCGAGCGCAACCGCAAGAAACAAAACAAGAAGCCTCCCAGCAAGATCAAATATGCGGCAGGCAGGAATGCATTTCGAACACACTGTATCGTACTAGAAGTACTAGTTACCCGACCCGTAGCTGTTAGTAGCATCGTACGTCTTGCTGTGCTGACACCAAACCGCACGAATCCAGGACCATCAAAAAGCAAGACCGTGCGGTACGGTACTCGTATTCGTACGTACGATGGTACGGTGATACGTACTAGTACAAAACGARRCGACTACAGCACGGATACGATGAACGATGACAGATGCATACAKTACGGTACGGTATCGTGCGGTAGGACGGTAGGTACRGTACGACTCTTTGATGACTGAAATACGGTAAGGAGGATATCCCTTGGATATTCCTCACTCCTCACACACGCGTTCTGCGTTCTTCCGAACCATAAAAACTGTCTTCGTTCTAGTTTTAGATCTTTTGTTCCCTCGGACTCAGATGAAACTTCCGCWATGTCAGCACAGCTACAGCAACCCTTACACGCCACCAGCGACATAAATTCCGCTAGCACAACACTAGGATCCAAGCGTGAAGTTCCATTCGGCACCGATCACAGAAGAGCAGATAAGAGACAAAAGCCGACAACCATGAGTGCTACCGCCGAAGAAAGAGTCGCCAAAGCGACCGAGCTTATCAACAAGGACATTGCTGAACACAAGGTACGGTACTACGAAAGAAGGTTGCCTTGTCGGTAGCGCAGCACCGAGTCCAGCGGGGTTCGTCTCGTTGCCAATTCTCTCTCTCTCACACGCACTCACACACATACAAATCCAATCTTTTTTCTTATGATGACACACTGTTCAGGTCGTCGTGTATGCGAAAACTTGGTGAGTAAAGGATACGATTCGTGCCTCTTCTCTCTGTGACTCAAAAAATCCAAAACCCGGATTGATCGACCGTACTTGTACTCGTGGTATTCGAAGACCATCGTTTTGCACTGATGGATAGAAAGTTGAACAAAACACTCACGATTTGTTGTTCTCGAACCAAAACACACAAACCGGGCCAGGTGTCCCCACTGTCAAGAAACAAAAAAGTTGCTGCAATCCGCAGAATACAAAGAAGTCGACGTTTTGATTCGAGATCTTGACGTCATGGACGATCCAACAGGCCCGTGCCTAGCCAAGGCATTGAAAGACAAGACCGATCAAGTAAGGCCCAGTCTGCTGTTTCCAAAACGCGTTGTTTGYGTGGACCACTTGGTGTTGCATCCGCGTTGAATTGYCTAACCCTGCTTGCGCCATTTTCACTCAGTCATCTGTCCCCAACATATTTATTGATGGAAAACATTTGGGAGGGAACTCTGATCTTCAGCAAGCCCATGCAAGTGGCACGCTCAAGTTGGTTTAATAAACTGCGGTTAGGAATAYGGGATGGTTCAAGTATCGTTCACAACAATGCCAGATTTGTGTTGGATTGATATTTTTTTACAAATAAGAACTCTGTTGGGTTCACGRCGAGGAGATTTGCTGACGCGAAATACCGGCTAGGCGCACGTAACCTGATGTAGGAGTGAAAATTGTTCTAACTACCGAATTAGTTTGCTTATTATTCCATCGCCGTGTTCAGAACTTGATACATCCTACAGTACTACCGTTACTCTAGGTTTCTTGCATGGGCTTAGGCTTCTACTGTGCTCTCTAGGAGAGGGAAGACGGCGGTGGCGTCCTCCACACCATCGAAAGCTTCCGCCCTTCCGCCCAGGTGTGTCGCAAGGAATTGTTCGGCACGGCCGTTGAAATCGATTCTGTTGTCGGGTCGGGCGAACCCGTGGCCCTCGTCCGGATACAAAACGTATTCGACCGGGATTCCCTTCTTTTTCATCGCGAACGCGATTTGGTCGGCTTCTGCCTGTTTCACCCGGGGATCGTTGGCGCCCTGTCCGATCAAAAGCGGGGCCTTGATCTCGTCGACGTGGTAGAGGGGCGAGATCTTCTTGTTGAATTCCTCGTCGGCATCGACGTCTCCGATTTTCTTCAACATGTCGTTTCGAAGCGGACCCCAGTACGGTGGGATGGAATCGAGCAAGGTCTTGATGTTGGACGGTCCAACAATGTCGACACCGCACTTGTAAAGATCGGGTGTGAACGTCAGGCCCGCAAGGCATGCGTATCCTCCGTAAGATCCACCGTAGATGCAGATATTTTCAGGGTCCGCGATTCCTTGGTCAATAGCCCACTGGACCGAGTCGGTCAGATCGTGTTGCATAGTTCCGACGCCCCATTCTCCATCTCCCTTGTGAAGAAAACTCTTTCCGTAACCGGTCGAACCCCTGTAGTTCATTTGMAGAGTGGCGTATCCACGATTGGCGAACCACTGCGCTTGTGCGTTGAAGCCCCAGTAATCGCGTGCCCAAGGTCCTCCGTGAACCAACAGAACCAAAGGTGTTTTTTTTTCGGTATYYGCTCTCGTCAAGTAGCCTACAAGCTCCAGTCCATCTCTGGCTGTAACTCTGATGTCCTCCATCGGGGCAAACTTGTAGTCTAATAGGTCGGGTTTCGAAACGAACAAGGCCTTCGTCTCTTTCTTTTCTTGATCATAAAGAACGTATTCGGTAGGTCCATCGCTTCGGGTGTAGGCAACGATCCATGTTTTTTCGTCCTCGGTCTTACTGGCAACACCAATGTCAGCACCATCGGGTCCCAGAGATTTCAACAATTTGTAATCGTTTTCGAGGTCCTCRTCGAAAAAAACGCGCTCTGTTCTGGCGTAGTTGTAGGAGACCGCCTTCACCTCTTTTGTGTCGTCGTCAATAGTGATGCCTCCGACATCGCATTTATCGTTAGCAGAAATCACGTCAAGYGTTTCCCCAGTTTTGATGTCTACTTTCAACAAAGCCGTAGTCTCTCGGCCGACACTGCTGGTCATCAGACATGTCTTCCCGTCGTCAGCGCAAAATTCAACTAGGTTGCCGTTCTCTCCATACGGAAAGGTAGCAAGGTCTCGCCAGTCCGCGTCTTTGCTATCCCTTACACGGATTGTACTAGAGGCATCTTCCTGATTTTTCACCAAAGCTTCTCGCACTTCAAAGGATGAGTCTTCACTACCCCATCCGAGCACGTCACCAGGGTTTTCTGTGTCCRTAAATTTATCCCCGGTCTTGTATTGCACTCGGTACATATCGAACAAACTTGGGTTCCGTTCGTTCGTTGCGACAAGAATCTCATCGGGGAATCGTTTGTTTGTTATGAGGTTGGAGGCTTTGACATCCTTTCCCGGTGTCAAATCTTTTGCAACGGCGTCGGACTTGATGGCATCAATCGCCCACAAATGAAAATTCTCATCTCCCTCAAAATCTTGAAGGTAAAGAATAGTCTCGCTGTCTGGTGCCCATCGGTATTGTCGAATGCCTCGCGACGTATCGTTCGTTACCATTCTAGCATCATCGTTGTTTTCATCTTCGGTAGAGCGCAGAAATACATTGAGTACCCCATCATCGTTCGGTGCCAAAAACGTAAGAAATTTTCCATCGGGACTCAACTTTGGTGCTGAAGAGACGATCGAAGCCAAAGACGACGGGGGGTTGGTTAGTATGATTTCGAATGCTGCGAAATGAAGGGTCATAATGGAGAACAGAAAATTACACATCGAAGCAAAGAACTAACCCGCGTATGTTGGATTTCCAAAAAGTACTTCTCGCGGAATGATTTCCTCCGACGTTGTGGTGGCCATGRCTTTGGGAAGTTGGTGACTGCCRCCACGCTTAATAGATGTTGGAATAAATGCAGTTGTTCCGAGATGGGAAGACAAACCCAATAGCACCGATACGGTGATCTGAAATGCCTTCATGGTGATAATCTTCGTACCGTAGTTTAATRATGAAGCCTCCGTATCTTGAGTCGCAAAAAGATTTGTACTGTAAGTTTTTGTTGTTTGATGACGAGTTCCCGTTCCGTGGAAAAAGTAGTACGTACGTACCAATATTAGTACCGTACAATACTGTACTAATTGTACAGAAATACAGTACAGTAACCACAATGTACCTTACCATACTTTGTACTGTACGGTACGTACTAATTACAGTTCTAGTCTGATTCAGCTATTCGTAGTCGTGTGCCTTGCTCGTGTCTGCAATTTCTCGAAATTTCTCGAAAATGAACCTCATGCATGACAGCTTCCTGTTGGTCATCTCTGGTATGTTCGTCTTCCGTCTGTCCTTCGCACTGAATACAAAACTTTATTCCCCCCCCCTCTTTTACCAGTTCCCCCCTCCCCCCCTCCTCTCCCCTTCCTGAAGAAACTCATGTCGAAACTGTTTCTGTTTCTCCTCCGTTCTTGTTCGTTTGTTTGYCTTCTCGACCTTCATGGCCTCATACGACGGTACGTACAAAGTACGTGTAGAACTCGTACTGGACAAGTACCGATAAACACAAAGCTGTTCGATGTATCAAAATCCAAGCTGACCACATGAGGAAACCACACCATCGAAGCATAAACTTATACAGGCAATACTTTTGAAACGAAAGATTCCGACCACCATGGCATCAAATACCAACAACAATATTCCGTTGATCACAACTGACACACTACAGTACAGACTCGACACTCAAAACTTTGGTAAGAATGGAGGCCARCGTGGATCCCTAACACGCTGTGCACAGAAGTATGGAAGMTTGCGGGTAGCGCTGTGTTCCGATACCATGGACGCGGAAGCGATCGAGACATCCAAAGACGACTTGGTCCGAGARGTTGAACTTTTCAATCTCGAAATGACGAAACTGATTGCGTTKCAACGCAATCTGGAAGTACAAGCGAAGCGCAACCAGTTGGCGGAGATAGMAAGAGAACAAGAGATCAAAGAAGCACAGGAACAAACCAGAAAGAGTCGAGAGCTTGCGAACAAGTCTATTCAGCGAAGTAATTGTCTATCGGAATATGAGTCGTTGGCAAGAGTTATCTACGAAAACCATCCAACATCGAGCACGGAGCTGCAAASCCAAATTGACGAAATCCGATCGGAAATCTCAAAACTAGAAGACGAAATAGCTTCCAAGGACGAGACCCTCAGAATTCGAGAGGCCCAATACAGGTCGTTGATTCAATGCATGCTAGATCTGAAGCAGACACTCATGGAAGACGAAGAAAACAAGAATCTGGAAGGGGGCGATTCAAAATCAATGGAAAGCAGGAAYGCTGACAGACCTCAGCCGATGGAAACCGACGACTTGTATGGGGATTTGWTATAAGTTTCATCAATCTGGCTGATCTCCAATATTGTGCTCGTTTGAATGGTCGATCTACTGTTATTGGAAAGATTTWTTCTTCCACACATCGTACTCAGTACACAATACTGTTTTGTTGGATCTCTGAAATGCCAAATCAATACTACCATCGAAATGCGAACTGGCATGGAGAATAACAAAAGCCCATGGACTCAATGGGGTGCGAATCGCCCCAAGAGTATTGGAGTGTCTTCAGCTTCATTTGAATGACAAGGCTCGAGCCCGACAGTCWTGCTAGTATGTTTCGTTTTTCAACGAATCAAGGACGAGGGATCCTCTGTTTCTGTCGTTACCTTAGTAGTTATGAGGTCCCCAGCCTACTAGTTTTGAAAGGCCTTGAAGCTMGAGAAGAATTATATTGGTAGCAATAGAGAACAATCGACATTGAACGGTACCACATTCCTACTAGTAGTAGTTGTTGTTGTAGTGAAGATGGATTATGCTGGAAAGTTGGCTGAAGACTTGTTGACCCTGGCAGGAATTTTTTTGTCTCCTCTTTATCGCAACCACCACCAGCCTCCATGGATGACAGCAACTGCCCAGTCCAACAAACCAGTGGTAGCCGATGCATTTGTTGGCAGCAGCGGCTGCTGATCACCCAAACAAAATGAAGCGTGGTGCTTGCGATAGTACCATGCATACCTTCTCAGCGTACGAACGATACTTCTATTAGTTTTCTATTCCTCGCACCATAATACCGTATGATTGCGCCCTTTGTTTAACGGTACTTAACCGTAGGGTGCTATGAAAAAATAGCAGAAACCTGGAAGTATGGTACAGTACGTAYGTACCGTACGGTACCAGATGCTTCGATTTGAAATTCAAAAACGCGCAAGGAGAAATGCGGTATGAACCAGGCACAAATCGTACTTTATCGCCAATAGTAACGAGTTGAAAAACGGGTACGAGTACGAGTTGTGAGGCTAAATCCCGACTACTCTTCGGTGTACATCTTGCATCACAAAAAGCTGACCTACGTCCTCATAATTGCACCGCGAGTATCTCATTGTTRTCGTCTTTGAATTGAAGTGACAGTAGCCAATACTTTGGGCGCATACCGTAAGATTGGGTGGTGAGGAGTGAACTTCGGATGGAACCGTCGACGGARCAACGAAAGGAAACAAAGAAGGAACCGAACRAATTCAGGTCGGAAGCCATCAGMAACCGTTCACCTACGAGCACTTTACAGAAACATTAGAATCCAGCYATGGCTGCCGTGATCGGAAGAGGATTTGAACGKATGATGGGCGAACGCGCGGCTTCGTCGCCATCCGACGAAGTTTATGATCCCAACCACCGAAACAATGGCACCGGTATGCAATCGCCCTTTGCTCTCTACTATACGGTCACGTTYTTCACGAAYGGGATTGCGATMATYGGCGGGGTGATTTCCCAGTTCGATCTCCACCGCAACAACTACTATGGTTTTGATTACTGCGACGCCTGGCTGTTCGCCAACGCCTTCTTCGGYGTTCTGCACATAGGCGCCGCCCTGTACATTGTGCACAAGATCCGYGAGCCGWATCSCTGGAGCGATGGGTCCTTGGATGCTACCACCTACGCAGAGGACGGCAAAGGCGGAGTCTATGCGACAGGATACCGGTTGCACAMTGGGAATCCCCTCGATCTGCGAAACCCAGCGGTCGCGGTTGCSAGCGCAGCAGCAGCAACCCATGCACAAAGCCCAACAGGCCCTCCCGATTCGCTCCATCGAGTTCGGTACACGCTCTGCGAAAACAMGGTATTTGCGGGCTAYATCTTCGTCTTTGGTACCTACCTGTGCTGGCATTTCTTTTTGGACATGAGGGCGTGCAACCTGGGGATGGCCTTTGCCATGCGGTGCGCGGACATTTTYATATGGGCGGCGCCCTGCTCGTTCGTCTTCTCCGTGGCTACTCTGATGYGGAACCAGGGCCGCATCTAGCCTGGCCGGGCGCATCGCGTTGCGACAGCGATGGAAGGGGCAGATTCTACAACGCGTGTGTGGCGTTTGGATGGCCCCATCGCCTGCCGTTAGCCAGGAGGAGGGCCGAAACTGGAGTCCGATTCGGAGATGTTTGTGCTTCTTTGTCCGTCACCGGACACTCCGCGCACTGTGTCATCGGAAGGATGGGCGGTTAGGCGATCCATACCACAGGTGCGAATCATGCACTTTCCGATGGCCGCACATWCCGTGCCGTCCCGTGCGCCCTTCGGAACGATTGTCGCGCGATGGCTCCGTTGGTCGTTCATCCATGCCACAAGGTATGGATCGGAATCGATGGGCAGCGCGCAGGTGCGTTTCTACTCTGCAGCAATATRAAGATGCTAATGGTATGCATTGTGACAATTCAATAGATTCATGCCGGAGCTGTTCCTATTGCTGTGTTCCTTGATAATTTTATTGAAGTTAATAATGTAAATACCCTGTAGTACGAGGTTAGTCGCAAAAATAGAAGCATACACCAAGTCAGTCCATAATTGCATCAGTGATAACAAGAACTATCTTGATCTATTCAGAAAAAGGAAAAACTAGAAGTGTGACAGTAATATGTACGTGCCGTATGCCTGGTACATAYGATACGATATTTTGGCCTGTCCATCCGTCCGTCTTGACAGAAAATGATGTCGCAAGAAGTATTGGATCCTCCTCGACCGGAAACATCTCACAAATGAAAATTACAACTGCAGGGGCAGGAACTGCTAACAGAAACACCRGYGATCCAAGCGCTKTCTCACTCSGTGCCATCTAGTCTTTCCTCGAACGAGAGCGCAGGAAACCATCGCCAACGTCATAATCCCAACCCATTAAGAGATCAAGCTGTTGTTGATTTGGCGTGTAGGGGATACAAYAACAAAATGCAATGAATGGAACAACAGCAASCAACGATGGTAACAAGAATACGAATACGAAGTGGAATCGGAATCGGAACTGGAATAGTGGCACGGGCAGCAGAGATACGAGCACCACGGATATRATCCAAGGTGCTGGTAAGAACGAACATTYGATAGCGATGAAATGGGGAAAKAAGACGAAGGATCGACGGCRGGTTGTGCGGAGGGTTGTCTCGTTTCCGAGGAGGATGGTGGTCCTGACRTTCCTTCTCGCGGTGGCGCTTTGGCCGTGTCCCGCGARCCAGAACRGGGGCTCTCTCCTYCCCCTRGCAAACGCGCTTCCGAGGCACGCGCAGGCAGCGACCGCTGCTACGAGGCCCACCGCATCCGCTTCCAGAGAACCGCAAAYCGACRCAAYCCCGGCCAAAACCAAGCACCACCACCAGCCKGTCCACCACGTCGAGATCGACTCTTTCCTGGTGCRCAGRAGGTTTCCCCTGAGGGTTGTTCTTCGCTCTGTCTGCCTCCTGCTCACGCTGTGGTCGGGAATCGGCTGCTTCCGCACCAGCGGGGTTCCCTATGCCCACACGGTCTGGCAGATCGTCTACGGGGAGCAGCAGCAGCAGCTCCCACCCGGCAAGGTGTACAACCCCACCGCGATGGACCGCCGGATCGCGCAGATGGTTCTAGCCTCCGAGGCAGAAGGAAGCGTCGTCCGCACCATGCTCCCCCCGGTGGGCATGCCGTCGGCGGGGCCGCTCCTGGCGCTGGTGGCATCGATTACGGCTTGGGTCTGCCTCGTCTGGCTCCTGCCCCTATGGTCGACGGCGGCGAGGGTCCTGCTGGATTACGAAGCCTACCAACCGAAYCGGGACTCTAGTGCTAGCGAGCGATTCGTCCTGGTGCGTCGGTGTAGCCCCAACACGAGCGGCACCGCCCGCCGAACCAAAACAAAGAATCACGGTCTCCTCGTGCTTCCCCTGCAGCAATCCTCGCCAGTGAAATCGAAAACGAAAGTGAAATCGAAAACCAAACCAAAACAATCATCGCGGGAGCAACCAAAGAGCAAGAAGAARAAGAGGAAATCAAAGAAAAAAAAGCAACGACACGAAAAGGAGGCCACTGGACCGGTTTCGTCGCAGGCGTGTTCAGGCTTCCTGGACGCCAACTACGGACACCCGTTCGAAACGTTCTTCGAGGTGGATCACGGCCGGATCTACTGCGATACCGACACGGGGGAATGTGTTCATGGTGGACCCTCCCTCCAYGCTTCCCCTCTCCCAGATCTCTCTTCGCTRGCGGAAGAAGGGGGTATCCCTGATGGAAAGCGCTCCGYGGCGACGGACCGATACCKCCCGTACAACGCCGTCAAGCTGGCCACTCCCACCCTGCGCGGAGCACTGGAAGAGCGCCTCTCCTCGCCRCTTGTCGTCGTCCAGCTGGCCGGAAAATTCGTGTCGCTCCTCGAGGACGGAATCAGGGCGATCTTTTCGCTGGGTCTGACGCTGGTGCAACATGCCTGGAACGCCAACGCCTCGATCAAATCGGCGGGGGAGCTCGCCGACGAGGTCCAAACCAATCTGGAGAAGGGATGTCCCGTGTTGATATGGAACCGGGCCAAACAGCGGTGGCTCGCTTCYGATGCAGGAGACCTGCTCCCGGGGGACGTCTTCAAGATGGCGGCGGAMCAGGGGGGAAGCGATGGYGAAGACAATGCCGCAAACATCGACGGTAAGGAAACCAATACGGAAAAGCACAAGCACAAGCATGAATGGATCGTCCCAGTGGACGCCCTCGTGCTGAGTGGCCAGGCCCTTACGAACGAGGCCATCTTGACGGGGGAAAGCGTGCCGCAGATWAAAACTCCCATTGATTTTTTGGAAGATGACGACGAAGAAACAGAAAGAACAAAACTTTGGCAAGAAGAACCAGCRACGATGGGCACTGCCAGGCGATTGGACTTGCACAAGGATCGATCCTCAATCTTGTTTGCCGGTACCACCGTCTTCCACACGCTCGGTGGCAGACGCAATCGTGGTGGTGGAGCAGTCGAGARCGGGCCCCTTGGACAAGCTTGCGTGGACACCACCGATGCGAACCCCGGTGGCATTACCTGCCTAGCGCTTCGCACGGGGACATATTCTTCAAAGGGAAACCTCCTCGAAGCGCTAAGGGGTAACAGCGCTACACACTCGGGTGCGATTTCCAACGAACAATCGGAGAAGGACGCCGTGCGCATGATTGTTTACCTGTCGCTCTGCGCAGCCCTGTCGTGCGGTTCCCTCCTCTTCCGAAACCAGGCGCGGGCCGTCAAGGTCTCGCCGTTTCGGAGAGTGATCCAGTGCACGAGGATTATTCTAGTCAGCATACCTTCRAACCTCCCTCTAGCCCTYGCATCTGTGGCCAGGGGATGCTCGGGGGTGCTCAGGGAAAGGGCGGACGTGGTGTGCTCCGAGCCGGGGTCTCTCCTGACAGCGGCCTCTGTGGACACRGTGGTCTTCGATAAGGTGGGTTGCGTTTATTTGTTTCAGTTTGATGGGACTGGTTTTGGTTGWGAATTYGATAGTTTGGGATGAACGTGTGTTTGATTGCGAATGGTGTATTCTTTCAGTTGCGGAGGACGAAGGAATCATTGATGCAAAGACGTGATTTCTGCCTTTGTCTCACGCCCTCCAAAAACTTGACGCTGCTTGCCTCKTRTMTCTAGACCGGAACACTGACAGCCGACACCCAGTCTTTGTCAAAAGTGGTATCAATRCCAGGATTGCCAGAATCGGACCTCAACACCGAATCKTTCCAAAGATTTGTTCTTGCAGGATGCCATTCSCTAGTTCAATTTCAAGAAGATGGCAGGAGTTCTGTGGTGGGCGATCCCCTTGACCAAGCGGCCCTCAGATATAGTCACTGGAGACACAACGAGACGCTCGGCTGTTATGTACGGCACGGGGCTTTTAATGACACTGTTTCAGAAGACRGTGTGTCTTCTTCATCTATTGGTTCACAACCGACACGCTTGTGGCAGATTTGTAGTTTTCCGTTCGATCCCAGCCGCAGGCTTTCATCGGCTATAGTCCTTTTACAACGAGACGACTCTAGTCTCCAGCTGTGGAAACTGACGAAGGGATCCCCCGACACAATGATCACATTGATGGAAACAACCCTTGACTCGAATATCACAAAATCTCAATTCAGAAACCAAACTCAAGAACTCGAGATGCAGGGCTACCGAAGCATTGCTATCGGAGCAGAAAACCTTGCTAACTCAACCATTGCYCGCTTGCTGTTCCCAAACGGTTTGTCCATCGAAGCCGAGTTTCTTGCACAAGCCAAGGCTAACGCAGAGGCACTGCATAGAAAAGARGTCGATGGAGTGCGTGGGCTGCAATTTTGTGGCTTTTGTTGTTTCGAAGCTTCCATACGGCGTAGCAGCAAGAGAGTTATCAAGGAACTGCTTSGGGGAGGTCTGAATTGCGTTATGCTGACCGGAGATTCTGTAGATGCCGCCCTGAGTGTTGCAAGAAAAGTCGAGATGTACAAAAATAGAAAGATTGCGGTGCTGGAACTCTTGGAGAACTCCACCACCGAAAAAGCYGATGGACTTGTATGGCGAATACTGACCCTGAAAACAAAAAAAGATGGATCGTTCAAAATACTGCGTCATCGCACAAGAACGGAAAAAGTTACGGTATCGTCGGTCAAGAAATACACCGGGTCAAAGGCCAAAGGAAAGTTTTCGCTGGCAGCCCACGGTCGGGCTTTAGAAATGATTCTATGCGGGAGACCAAATAAAGTTGGTAAAATGATAACCAAACAACTCGACGCTTTCTCCGTCGTTGCGAGAGCCACTCCCGAGCTCAAAAAGCAGGTAATCGAGACTTTAAAACATGATTGTGACAAGCGGGTCATGATGTGCGGTAAGTGTGCAACTTAGGCTGTTCATTTATTTGCTTAGAATCTAGCTTTTCTTATCTGCTTTTGCTTTTRCCACAACTGACTCAGGTGAYGGAGTAAATGATGTTGCGGCTATCCAAAGTGCAGATGTCGCAGCTTCTTTGCTGACTGGCTTTGGTGCCGAAAATATTGAATCTAACATCGATGTTGACGATAAACGTCGCATGAAAAGGCTTTCAATGTTGAATATTGGAAGCAACAGAGCCACAAATGTTGCGCAAGCAAGGAAGAAAGAAKCCAATGAGAGGATCCGAAAAGAGGTTGAAAAGTACCGTGAGGAGATAAGGAAGCAGTCGTCGTCAAAAGATACTAGCAAAAAGTCAGAGTTTGATGAGCTGAAGGAGATGATTTCAGCAACGATGCGAGCGGGCAGAAATGAACAGCGTCGTGCGGAACAGCTAAGAAAGGGTGGTGGAGACGCGGCTCGTATCCTTGCAGAAGAACGCCAAGGTCAATTATCAGCCGAAGGTGACGAAGTGCACGATGAAAGCTTAGAACCACCACCGATTAAACCCGGTGAAGCGTCTCTTGTGTCTTCTTTCTCTTGTCTTCACCCAAGTGTGGACGGTATCGATGCCATTATCAGGCAGGGCATCGCCACTTCTGCGAGTGCTTTGGCAACGCAACAGGCGATYGGACTGCAYTCGTTAATGTCCTGCTTTCACTTGGCAACTCTTTACAGAGATGGGTTTCGGTACGGCAAATACATGTGGGACGTGGAAATGYTTTTTTATCAGATKTTAGAAACGGCACGGAATAGGGCGTCATGCRCTCCTCGACCGAGGCTTCCGGTTTCAGTGGTTGATCGACCACCAACATCGCTTTTCGAATTTGGCAGTGTCTTCGAAACAATCTCTCAGGCAGTCGTGCACATATCTTGCATGGCAGTGAGTGTGAGATACGCAAAACATATCGAACGCATTGACATCGACAAAKGCAACGAACGAAKAATAGAACTGAAGAATTTCCACGGAGCGCAAAGCACAAAGATAGCAAARCTGATGGACGCCCTCGCGAAACGATCCCTAATGGATACGACCGAGGGAGAGAAAAATCCAAATCCATTCTTCCAGCGGGCGCCATTCCGTCCCAACTACGAAACAAACATGGTTTTTATCCTTTCCATTCTTCAAAGCGCCATTAGTGCGGTTGTAAGCCACAAGGGAAGCCCTTTCTACCATGGAATTTTGGAAAGCCGAGATTTGTGCACAATAGCAGGTGCTACGCTGATATTCGTCGTTGCGTGCATTACTGGAAAACTGTCTTCGCTTGCCTCTCTCTTGGAATTGAAGCCGCTACCATCGAAGTGCAGTAAACTTGTCTTGCTTGGAATTGTCTCGATGAATATCGCTGCGTGCGTATTCTGCCGATACATTAGTGATCGCTTTCTTTTGTCGACAATAGAAGAACAGCCGARCAGGGTGAAAGGCATTGTATCTGACGAGGAGAATGCCGAGCAGTCAAATAATGCAGCTATTTACGAAGAGAAATTACTTCGTGAAGAAACTGAAACGAATTGGAAAGGACTCAAACTTTTAGCTGCCATTTTTTTCTATCTAGTGGTAGAAGTCCTGGTGTCCTCYGAGTAATATAAGTTTTTTGAAAAATTGTCCAAGCAACACATACACACACATCCAAACGTTGCACAAACCGCGGGGATATCACGAAATTTGTATTAATTTTTCTTAGCAGGAATAGTATTATGACTACTTTCTTTCTTTCCCAWAGGGTTGTCCTTGCTCACATATGTATGAAAGGAGAAGCGAAGAATATWGCTGTCTCTCTTTTCGTCTACATTGGACCGGACATAGAGAAATACCAATAACGACATTCCTAATGTTTAGATTCAACATGTTAGTCCTATCCTTCTTTTCGCGAAAAACTGTGGAGATGCTCGTGATTCCAACCTAGACTGGAGGGAGTTCTCCATTGTAGAGAGACAAGTAACATGTCTTTTTCTCAGTCTGGATCAAAGCCATCTCATATCTAGCCTCATATTAAGCATCTTCAGCAACAGGGTCTCGAGTTAGTTCCACACATGCTAGAGTCGCATGGCGTATTGAATCTACAATGCTGAATAGAGAAAAAAGTCATGTTTGTGCCTGCTRGCTAGTCAGCTATTACTAGCTCGTACRGATAGTTTAGATATTCTGTTTAGTACGGTAMACATTTCTCATGAYGGGCCACATACSAGTTCAACGTGTGGTRGAAACAATTTGAAGGGGTTAGTGTCGAGATTTAGATATGATTTTTTTAACTGCCACTAGTGATGAGCATTATTTGCTGCATTTTTCAGTCGTAAAACAAATTATGGCCGAGAGTTTTTCAGTCTCACATTTCTCAGGTTTTTGACGGAGCGCGCGCGCCCGAGGTTGCGATTAGGGATAGGTATTAGGGTTTTCGGGGTTTCAGGTTTTGGCTTAGAATTTTGCGTCGTATGTCAGGCCACGATGGGCCTTTCATCGGTACGGTACGTTCGTACTTCTGCAGTACGTAGTCATCACGTCAGATCACATCACATCACATCACATCGCTACGATTTTCCTACTGTACGAGTACGTACGCAACTCTCTGTAGTATGAAATGAGGAAACTTACTCTATGGTAGTACGGTACCGTACGACTAAGAGTAAAGTACGTACCTGGAGCCGTTCGATTTTCGATTTTCCTTCGTACTCGTGTCGTCTTCAGTGCTTGTCGACAAACTGCTTATCAACTGCGGCATGAATGAAGTTGTCGAGTCTTCGCTTTGATTTTCATTAYACAACTCTCGTTTTCCCCAATTAGCTCCTTGTCTATAACCCTCTAAGAAAACGAAAATGAAATCTGCATCGTCAATTCTTGTTTGGTCTTTCTGCCTCGTGTTGGCACTGGGTCTGTTTCCGAGTGAAAGCTGGGCCTTGACAAAAGGAGCAGCTGGCGGCGCCGAACAAACAACGCAAGGAGAAGGCGATGCCGAGATCTTGGCATTGATGGCCGACGCCCAAAAGCTGAAAGATGCCGCACCCGAAGTTTCGACGGATGACGCTTTGAGCATTTCCAAGCTACTGCAGCAGCTCAGAGAAGACAAGAATACTCAGGCATTGGTGAAAAATCTCAAAGAAGAGGGAATCGCCAACGACCCTGCGCTGAAGGAGTACCTTGAGAAAGCGGATCAGAAAGAACTTGTAATGGGTCTCAGCCAGTTACTAGACGAGCTAAAGGCGACGGAAGTTTTGTTCCAGAATCCGGCGGGGGCCGTGGAGGAAATGCACAAAGCGGGGATGATTCCGAGCGAGAACCTGAAGACTTACCGAGAAAACCCCGCACAACTGGAGCAAGACTTGMGAGGTGCGCTGCATTTCTCTTTTGTGTCGTTTGCGTTGACTGCCGGATTTCTGTGAGACAAGTCTCGAGCTTCTGCCTATTGGTAGATTGGACATGTTGTRATATACTTTCCATGAGATTTCTCCGTCATCATATGCCTTAGGCATGCAATACACATCTACTGTGAAGCGCTTTGCGGAAATATACCGAAATGCATAKGATGGCGCTGCCTTGATACTAATGTAATCTTATCTAKACAAACGAAACGAAACAAGCCAACAAGAACACTGGATTGCGGGGTAGTAGCCCAGCCCCAAATTCGTCTTTTTGTCTTCTACGCAACAGCACATCATGCTTTGTTTATCCATTTATTCGTTTTGTTCCTTCTTTTCTAACTCAGGTTAGTCGGGCTTGCATGTGAGGATATCGTCTCGTGGTGAGCGGTATTGGTGTTTGGAGCAAATCCCAACGTCGATCGAGCCCACTCCAGGATTACACCCGTTTCAGGCAACAACGAAACGGTTGAGTTGCCTTCAAGTCCAAACCTCGCTTCCACCTCAGAAAGRTTGTAAAAGTCATTTCCGCATCCAAGTACTGCGACTCCATYCGGCGTGTAGTATTCGTTCGATTCCAGGGTCACATGGGAATCCTCACATCCTCCCCAGAGTCGTCCGACAAAGTTGGGTTCCCCTTCTCCCGTACCACTGCCCTTGCGTTTCGYTGGGTAGCCATAGTGTTCTTGTAAGGCCTCTGATCTCCATTTGTTGTASATTATACCTACCGCTTTGTTCTCCGCATTGTGTTTGGTGTTGCCAACACCTAGTAGGCATCGGTTGCCACGAAGAACGTCCCCGTGGCCTTCTAGAAAACTGCCCATACCAAAGCAGGGGCCACCGTTGTAGGCTGATGATAATATCAAGCAAGCAAACAAACAAGCAAACAAACAAACCAAGAGGGAGCGAGCAAGAGAGGAAGCGCAACGTTCCGTTCAAGCGCAAATCCAATAACCTGGTTAGTACGAGCTTTTTCAGAACGCAATCAACTGTTACGGCCACTACAGTCTATGTCTGCACCGTATGCATATACACAATACACCCATTAAACATTTGGGACACACCAATACACGRCAATACTGCACTCACAAAGAGACATCGCCATATTGTATTCGTAGATACTGTCGTGACCACCGTAGTCCATCTTGAAGCCGTCCGCCTGGTAGAAGACGTTGTGGTGKATGTGGTACCAGCTGCTCCCGTCATCATTATCGACCCCCTGGGATGCCCCATAGTTGGCAAAGATGAAATTGTTCCGAATGGTTCGGAGCAGCGGAACAAAGCCCTTTGTGTTGCCTTTGAGGTCGGTGAGGTAAGCCTGCCGGTCCCACGAGTTGATCGGCCCGTGGTCCCCGGATTCRCGGCAGGTGTTGAAGATCAGGTTGTTTTCTACCAGATCGCCGCCTCCKAGCATGTCGTTGAAGTTGATGGCAGCTCGGCCCATGTTGAACATGATGTTGTTCCGGATGGTAGTGAGGGAAGCCTTGCACTGGCCGACCGCGGACGATTGCTTCTGATAGATTCCCAACTCCCTCATCACGTTGCCCTCAACGAGTGTGTGCATCGGAASGTTTCCACCCGTGGCGTCGTACCCGTCCGTGTCTCCCCAGGTGGCGATTGCGCTCTCACCAAGCCATTCGAATCGGTTGCGTCTTATCTTTACGAAGTGGGTCTTTCCCGACAAAAAGATCGCATTTCCGTCCAGCCGAAAGAAGAAACACCGCCTTATCTCTACGTTGGAGGCGTTCTCGATCAGGATGGCTCCGCCCCTGCGCAGGGCCCAGTCACCGCCGCTGGGGGCGGACCAGCCCTCCTCTAGAAAGGTCGCAGCCTGGTCTCGAAACGAAATGCCCTCAATGGTGACGTGTGCCGTGCGGTTTTGCACCTTGATGAGGTCGGTGAGCAGCCCRAGGGACAAGTCACGTAGGTCTTGGTGGTTCGTCGCATTTGGGATCACGTAAAGYTTTCGGCTGTCCCTATCGAAATAGTATTCCCCGGGCTGGTCCAGAAGGGCCCTCGTGTTTTCGATCCTCCAGTTYCCCCCAATCAACCGTGTGTCGTCGGGATYGGGTGGGGTCTCGTGCTGTCCGCACCACCCACCGGCGTAAGTGCACTGGTCGCAGCGGCACCAATTCCGCCCGCCTTGCTTGCCGCCACCTTTTGCGAAGGCCATGGTGCCGTTGCTCGCGGAATGCGAGGCAATCTCGAACATGTGCACGGACCACGACTGGGAATGATAGGCGAAGACGACGCCACCCTCCATCGAAAACTGGTTCGACGAGRAATAGSTCGACACCGAGGCATTCGAATRCAGCGGACCCAGAGACGGGTCGGATCGGTTGTAGGTCATTCCAACAGGGATCTGCATCTCGCCCGAGGTTGCRCATTCCCGGTCCACCTCGGCCCAGCCCCCCTGGCTGGMGTTGGAGCACCAGTAGCTGTCTGCGGATTCGCCCCAGATTTCGGCACATGCTCCCCCGGAGCCGCTGGCGTACTGGTTGTACCCGTCCATGGCCGAATCGTTCTTGTAGGGCACGCCCTCCGGGGGATCCTTGGCAAAATCGTACAGCTCGAATTCCGGGGGTGCGGCTTTTTCTGGCTTGGTCCATTCGAGGACCGTRTCGCTTCGGAAGAAGTTGGGATCGACAACCTCCGGGTCGCCGTTCGGGTGCCGGGCTCGGATGTACCGACGGGTGCGGGACATCAGGGACGGGGATTTGGGTATCTTCCAACCCTTTAGCAACTCTGTRAGGTCGGCAACGTAAACGGTTCGCTGTTCGTCCTCTTTGATGGCTTGGACCGGTCGAAAGACAGCGTTGGAAAGGCTCACACCGCCGCTGATCCAGGAATCTTCCCCCGGAAATCTCTTGATTGTCAACCCGCTATCGGGTTCGGAGAGCACCAGGGGTTCTCCCTCGAGCGAATGAATCCCTCCACGAAGCACGATTGTGATGTTCTCTGCATTTCTGATGTTCTTCTCGCCGATGGACAAGGATCGGGAATGATGCAGTGCTCGGTGCAAAGAGGTCCACGGACGGTCCAGGGAACCATTTTCGATTTTTTTCCTGTTCTCGCGGGCCTCGTTTTGGTATGGGTGCCCCGGGGTTGGTGCGACGAAGATGCAGGTTGCGCTCCGGTGGCAAGATAAACGCAGCAACGATTCTTCCAGATCGGTGYCTTCCGTTTGGTCGGTTTCGTTGTCTGCATCGCTGGCACTGGCACTGTCGCTGACTCGAGCGCGCCGAAGGTTTGAGGGCTGCGGTGGACGCCCATCGACCCGCTCCTCCGGGCAGAGGCGGGGCATCTCGAGGGCATCGCTCACGTCCCGGAGAACGCGCCCGGCGTCGGCCTCGTTGCGAAAATARTCACCGCCGTCTTTTGGTTCGAGGAGCTCCTTYGCAAACTCCAGCGCAAAGGCCCGCATTCCACAGTCCAGCGTTCGGGCTTCTCGTTCGGCAAAAGCGGGACCGGAATCCTCCGCGCTGCCGAAGGGAATGCTGCTGATGAGCAGCAGGAGACCTATGGTCGTCTGAATCGCCATCGCCAGAAGAGGGACCGTCGATAGAATTCGCCGTTTGGTTTTCTTCTTCTTGGCTTTGCAAAGCTTCCTTCGGTCACGATCCGGAAAAGCAATCGTAATACCAAACAACGATTCGTTCATTTTTGACTGTCTCTTTGTTTGCTTCTTGGTTGGCTTAGTTGCTATAGTAACGGTGAAATCCATGACTCGCGGGGTTTTCTCCCGTCTTTGTTTCGAATCGAAGCATCCAGCCATCGAAGAACGAATCGAAAACGACGAAAATCAAGATGCACAGAATCCATGACACTCCAGATCCGGGCCATACGGTACGGTACCTGGTACCGTAGGCATTGCTGAGGTGCCGCCAAAACTGGATCCGAACAAAAGAAAAAGGAAAAAGATTCACTGATATTGATTGATTGATTGAATCATTCGACTCAATCCTAGTGCGRTGATTGACCGATTGATCCGATTGACTCATTCGATCGAATCAAATATTCTTATCTTATATCCTATCGAACATCTTGTCTCGAACCTTGAGAAAGAACCCATCTGATACTGTCTGCTTGTTCATCACAACACGACACGAAAGATCATTGCAATAGAACAAGGCACGAGTCCGAAAACTAGCAGTAAATTTTTCGCACGCAACAGACACACCAAGTTATACCATAATACAGATAGTTATTGAGCAACTACTCTATCTTTAGAACACAGCATGGTACCAAAATCCCGCATCGCCGTGGTGACCGGAGCCAACAAAGGCATCGGATATTTCATAGCCCTCCAGCTTGGTCTTTCCGGACTCTTTTCGGACATCATACTGGGGTGCCGCGATTCCGGTCGGGGGACCGCGGCCCGCAACGCCATCCAGGAAACCATCGAGAGCAGTCTTGGCRCGGGTGGCAAAGGGGCRCCGACCATTCATTCGCTGCCGCTGACCATCGGAGACGCCGAGAGCCACTCCTCCTTTTCCGATCGAATGGAAAAGGAATTCGGCGGAAGGGTTGATGTTCTCGTCAACAATGCCGGCTTTGCCTACAAGGGAGCCGATCCGACCCCTTTTCGCGACCAGACCCAGAAAACACTAGAAACCAACTACTACGGACTGCTCGGATTTACGCAATCGATGCTTCCGCTTCTGCGGAGGGGCACGGATCCGCGCATCGTCAACGTGGCGTCGATGGCGGGGCGGCTCTCGCAGGTGTCTCCCRAGCTGCAGCAACGATTTTCCGATCCGGCCCTGACCATAGAAGAGCTCAACGGCCTSATGGCCGGCTTCGAGGACGCTGTCTTGCGAGGCACGCACCGCGGGGAAGGATTTTCGAACTCGAACTACGGCATGTCCAAGCTAGGTGTCATTGCCGCCACCAAGGTCCTCGCCCGCGAGGAAAAGGCAAACGGTATCGCCGTCAACTGCTGTTGTCCGGGCTACTGYGACACGGATATGACCAGCCACCGTGGGCCACGGAGCCCAGCGGAGGGGGCTAGAAACGCCTTCCTCCCTGCTACCATGGAGAATCCCCCCACGGGAGCGTACTTCGCGAACGAACGGGTAGCGAGGTGGTAGCAAYCCGTGTGGTGTCGTACGAACCAAAACGATGAGAATGGTGTTAGAAACGGGACAGGTGGGTGTGGTATCGGATGGCAAACGGTGGCATTCCAAGAACTTCTTGTGAATCCTTTCTGTGAGAGTTAAGGATTACATAGTGGACGACGACAAACACACCGTTTCGTGACCGAAGAGAGACAGAGAGAGAGAGAGAGAGAGCGCGCGCGACGAACAGTGACGAGTCGGATTGGAAGTTTTGACATGCCGAAATCGATGGCTCCCGATGCGACGGGTTGATCAATAGACATCGTTTACGGGTAACACCGCCCCGGATTACCTTCGATTGGATCGCCATACGGYCCGGTCCAATTGCTGTGCGAGTTTGCATTGCTGGAGTGCTACGATCGATTACGCTATGTCAATAGGGGACAGCTGGTTGTTGGAAAGTTACGCTGTGCGGTATCCTATATAGTTTTCAGAATTTCTTTGCGGATACGTAGTTCGAAACACGACTAAAAGTAGACCGAATTATTACACCGTTCTATCCTCTGAAACAAGGGGAAAATCATGGACTATTCTTCCAAACTATGTTTGTCTAAAAATTGGTTAACAGAATCTATCACTAACAAAAACAGCATCTCAATGTTGCATTGCATATTGCCGATGCTACAACTTTGCTTTTCGAAAAACTATCTAAGAAGACCAATCAATAGGAAGTTCATAAAAGATTTTTTTCAAATATAAATGTGTTATGATATGATTGTGCTGCGCTGTATTGTATTTGTATTAATTATATTTATGATTGGTACAGTATGGTTTTAACTAGTATTCGCTGGTGGCCGTGAAGTAAAATTTTCGGTTTCCAAAGCACACTTCGTCCCCATCAAAGAGCAGGCTTCCCCTCCGACTCATCCCTGATGTACCGGTGCGGATGAAACCCAGGCTGCACCGCCGCCTCAGCTTTTTTCCGAGCATACTTTCCAGGATACCAAAATCAATGCTGCTGCTGTTGTTGCTGCCTTGTTGCCGGGATGCGACTTCTTGGGCCTGGAGGGCA